ACAAACAAAACTCTACTACATACAGCAGTTTTTAAGTTCTGAATTGCGAAATTTTGCAAATTTCTATGAAATGTTCTGAATACATGAAAGTTAGAACTTAAGCTTTGACATTTCCGATGCTAGTTGCAATGGGGTGTTGAGATAAAACTGTTTGTCTTAATGGTCAAGTAGGAATAAAAGAAGTTTGGACAGTTTAGGTCAAAGCGTCATGACATCTGTAATAACTAGGAGACTTCTTTTAATATTGTTTATCATGATTCAATTTAATTAAAATTAGACCAAACTTTCATTCTGTTTTTATCAGCTTTTATTAATATATATAGCCACTTCAGTTAGGGTCTAACAACAGCCCCCTTGAACGTTTGTCAAACTAACCTATCAAAACACTGAGTCACGAAATGCTAGCACTGGAGAAGGTAGCTTTTGATTGGTTAAAGCAGACATCATCGAGTCTAAAGGTAAATTTGACTAATGATCTTGAAATGGCAACAGTTTAAATTGATGGGGCAGATTTTTTGGTGAAATTGCAGAAGAACAGGCTTGCTTCTTAAAAGTAATACAGTTAGCTCAAATTGGACTATACTACTATGAATACTGGAAAATCTTTATCATATAATTCACTATTCTTACGCATGTATCATTCATTGAATACAATTTTCTGTACTGTGTAATATGCCTCTAGCTGTTGTGCAAAATTAAATATCAATATTCACTTCGCTTAAATAGGACCTATTTATCCCATGCTGACTTGACATTAATGAAAATCGTATTCACATTTTAGATTCAATTTATTGCAACTAATATGCATTCGTTTCATGTTGTGCTTGAATCAATTGTAGTCTACATCTATTTTTGATATGTAATGAATCAATTTTATGAACTATCAGATGAAGGCAATCATCTTTGCGAGTTATAGGTTTATGCTATTCAACAGGCAAAAATAGTATTTGCTCACATTTCTTCTTATGAAGACTGTCTGTTCTGTTTGATTTCCGAAAATGTCTATTGAACTGAACAACCAAGACTACATAAGGACAGATGCTGTCGAGTGAAATAATCTGATCAAAGGCAATAGTTGACGAAGCATGATTATGTTTGATTCACAGACATTGGGGACAACTGGTCATTTTTTTCCAAACAAATTTTGATAAGGCTTAATTTAACCCCCGCTCTTAGAAGTTTGGGTCCTTGATTTCCAAATTTGCCTATAGATATTTAAGTTGTATTGTTGCATTTTGGTACATTTAATGCTTAATTATTATAAACTACTAAGTTACAAAAAAAATTTAGAAAACCGGAAACTAATTGTTATATGTTACATATGGTAGATATGACTTTCATTAATTAGACAAAGTCGTTAATGATAAGTATTTAGATGCTAATTGATATGATGTGTAATAAATAGACTTGATAATCATATATAATCATATATTACATCATATTATACTTATCATCTGTATAACTCTATTATTATTAATGATATACCTGGCGGCCATCTTTATTTGTAGTTATCTTTCTAAACGACAGTTTTGATTAAATCAGTTTAATGTTAAAGTTGATTATTAGTAGTCATCAAAATATCAGTCTACATTTGAAAATATGCAAATATCAGTAATAATTGCATTCACAAATGTTAATAAACTGTGATTGATGATAAGTCTCAAATTCCATGTATGGTTTTTGTTGAAATGCTGAACCTTCAATATTAATCTGAAAGATCATACTGGCAGCTGGGATTGTTCAGTTCAATGGTATCAGATATATTTAAAATCAGAGAAATAAATTTCAATATTAATATCAGATAAATGTACAAGTTTCAGTATTAATATCAGATAAATATACGAGCTTCAATATTAATATCAGATAAATTTACAAGATTCAATGTTAATATCAGATAAATATACAAGTTTTAATATTAATATCAGATAAATGTACAAGTTTGAATATTAATATCAGATAAATATACAAGTTTTAATATTAATATCAGATAAATGTACAAGTTTCAATATTAATATCAGATAAATATACAAGTTTTAATATTAATATCAGATAAGTGTACAAGTTTCAATATTAATATCAGATAAATGTACAAGTTTCAGTATTAATATCAGATAAATATACAAGTTTTAATATTAATATCAGATAAATGTACAAGTTTCAATATTAATATCAGATAAATGTACAAGTTTCAGTATTAATATCAGATAAATATACAAGCTTCAATATTCATATCAGATAAATGTACAAGTTTCAATGTTAATATCAATATTAATATCAGATAAATGTACAAGTTTCAATGTTAGTATCAATATTAATATCAGATAAATGTACAAGTTTCAATGTTAGTATCAATATTAATATCAGATAAATATAAATGTACAAGTTTCAGTATTAATATCAGATAAATATACAAGCTTCAATATTCATATCAGATAAATGTACAAGTTTCATTGTTAATATCAATATTAATATCAGATAAATGTACAAGTTTCAATGTTAGTATCAATATTAATATCAGATAAATATAAATGTACAAATATCAAGTATATATCAGATAAATATACAAGTACATTCACATGAATGTACAACTTTCAATATATATCGGAAATATTGTACAATAATAGATATTTATCAAATAAGAGCAATAATCACAAAGAAAGAATTTACTATTAAGTAAATATTTATAAATCCATTAATATATTTTCAAATATTCCTCCTAATAGTTTTCCATTGAACTTGATTAATACAATATCAACGAGTATGTACTCTTTGAGCTTCGTTGGTCAGTGGAGTTGAGGTATTGATTGACACAAGCTAACAGTTGAAAGTGAGAGAACACAATTTTACCTGCACCCGCTTCCATATTGTTTTCCTCTTGTAACAATAGTTGCTTAAACAATACCTTTATGAATCTTTGATGGGTTTCGTCAATAAATAATGTTTTAAATGTTGTAGTGAGGTCTGATATAAAAGTCTTTGTCTGTCTCTGAACAATGGTTTTTATGATTACTGCAAGAAAGGATTTGATAATCTTTATATTTTTCTTTCTATTTTTTCTTCAATGAAGAAATTTCATTCTTCAATAATTCAAACTGTTAAAATGGATTTAATTTGACTCAAGATTATTCTTGATAACTTAAAGGGATTGTAAAGAGGTTTTCTAAATTTTTCATGTGTATCAGGGACACTGATAGAATCAATTTGCACTATTCCAATTTTCAATCAGACATCTGTGGTTCTTGGAATTCCACTGAAACTAAAGTGTTTGATGACATCACTAATGGTGAAAGGCCTTATGTGATAAAACATATTTTGCTTTTAGTGACGTCATCAAACACTTAGTTTACGTTGAATTACAGGAATCACAGACAGTTGATTAGATATTGGTATGGTGCAAATTGATGCTATCTGTGTCTCCGATACACATACAAATTTCGATAACCTCTTTACAATCCCTTTAAGACATTTCCTTTGATAAATAATTTTGTGTGAAACCTGTAAATTCACTGCTTTTCTACTTGGGACATTACCTTTAAGTTTTTTTTGTTTTTTTTTTTAACTGATCATTATCAATATTATGCCGGTTGATTGTGTAAATTGAAAATATATTTCAATTAAAGTCTACTACATGATTGTAAATAGTATAATAGTCATATTGTTTGTTTAAAATAGATCTATTGGAAGTTGAATTAGTAGGCAATTATAGGTTGAACTGAAGTATGTTTACAGTGTTGTCATAGTAACATATATTGATATACACTGGTGGAATTGTTGCATGTATTAGGTACTGTATTATGTATGATATTGAAATGCTCCAGACTTTCATGTCTCTGTGCTACATTTGACTAGGTTTCTCTTACTAATTGTATATTGCTTGTTGGTTTTAACATTAGTTTCTGACTAATTGTCATTAATTTTTGAAATCATAATAATGAAGTTTATGAGAATTTTTGCTGCTGATTTGGTAAAACGAAGAAATTTGAAAACGGAAAAAAAATGAGAGTATGATTTCATTTTATATCAGCTTTGAAATGTTAAAAAAAAACCCCGTTTGTTTTAGTTTGATTTTGTATATATCATGTTATATTTTATTTTATCAATAGTATTATTATTACTAATGAGTAATTACTCAGTTAGTAGAAGTCTAAAGTTATCAAACTCTTAATTAAGAAATATGATTTTTCGAATTTTAATTAAGTCCCATTGTGTTTGTTTTCTAACACTGATTATTAACTTTAACTAATATAACCAGGCTTTATAGGATATTATTAGCTTTCTATTCAATTTCACCTCTTTAGACTCCTCTTTCCATTACACTGATTATTAGCTGGATTCTACAGTAGACCTTTCAATAATATTAATATTCCAAGATTCCCTTATGTCCAGTAATAAGATGTTTAGAACAATAGGGTATTGTTAGCAAGGTTAAATATCAAACAATACATTGTATCATTGCCCACCTGTCATTTCTACTGCCATTATCATAATGACCAGTCAGGTGTGACCACTCCCATATTATTTATAATTCAAAATCCATTTCTACCTTTTACACTATTGACTGAGAGCCTGGCAGACGCACTTTGTTCAGGTAATATTTTAACAATGGATTGTTTTGACATTGCCTGTGTGTTTTAGGAAGTCATTGATATTTTTGGAAACTGAATATTTTCTAGATTATTTCTTGTTTTCTTTGTTCATTCTAATTTGTGTATTAATCACCAATATATTACCTAGTTGGAAGGTCTTTGTTCTAGTATTTTGACAAGTTGTAACTGTATTCTATTTAGAGATGAGGATTTTAACAATTCTGTATCCATTGTTTCATCATATTTTTACCTAGATTTAGATAAAGATTATTTGTAGTTTTGAGAGTCCCTAGATCTAGAAAAAGTGGTTTATTAGGAGTCCTGTGGCATCGTGAAGTTCATGGAATCATTTCTATTTTTTCAGGAAGAAAACGCCCATTGGAAGATGATGATGATGATTGTAATGATGGACAATTTAAAAGACAAAAGGGAGAAGGTCCAAAAGTTGAACTTAGAGTTCTGCTACAAAGCAAGGTAAAGATTTTCATATCAACAATTTTAATCTGACACTAAAATGATCTATTCTTAGAAATACTGAGATATTTTTGTTGTTTACTAGTCATTTTATTGGAATTCTCAGACAAATGATCTGATGAAATAAATGAGAGATGATTGGAAGTGTTAAGAGTAGAGAGAAATTGTTTGATTATCAATTATGAATGTATCAATAACTAATTTTACCTGCCTAATGGAAAAGAAATGTTTCTCTGCCACATAAAGGAAAGTTTCTTTGTTACATTGACTGAGCTGCTATTGATTTTGGCTATCGATTATGTTGAAAACAATTGAATTTGTGTATGGATAAGGCTTCTGTTTAAAAATGAGTTTGACAGGTCTGAAAAATAAAATGGTCCCAAGAGATCGTCTTCCTTCCTGTCCAATTATTCTTCTTTTCTCCTCGATGATTTATTGATTGGAGAATAAGAAAGGCGAGTGAAATAACTCACAGTTATCACGCAAATCAGAGTTTATTATTGGACATGATATTCTTGTTACCTGTTCAATAAAACTGTTATAAATAGCATTAATTAACTTTACTATTATAACTTTCTTAACTTGTCTCATGAAATTCACATTATGTGATGATTTGGAAAAGGATGTCTTGTGTCCTTCTTTCTTTCTTCACATAAAATATGATTTATTCATTATAAAGATGAGTTCCCTTGTTTTTATTCATGAAAATGAAAATGCTAATACTTATATGAATAGAAAGTAATGACTTGGAAAAATACCAGTTTGTCTCGACATGTCCATGAATTGAGTGACCGATCAAGAAAGGTCAAAAAGTCTTTTTGTTTTTCCAGACTGTAAATACATAGACATTTATAATTGGTTAAAACTCTTTATTCTATGCAATAAGAATATAATGATATGATTACGAATACATGATAATTCATTAGGAACACCAATTAATCAAAAAGTTTGCTTAATTTGACACTAAAAATTAAGGAAACCCATCTTTAAATTTCAATTGAATTACAGATTATATATTTAAGAGACTGACTTTTTCCTTGTTGCATGTTTTTTAGACATTAACGTGATTTAAGGAACCACAAACTTTAAATTGAATTGTTTTAAATTTCTCTTACAGAATGCTGGTGCCATTATCGGTAAAGGTGGAACCAATATAAAACGCCTCCGTTCAGACGTAAGTTTTTTTTTTGTACAGTTTGACAACTTTCGCAATGAATATATCAGTGATACACATTAAATTTGAAATACTATTGATCAAGTAATGTGACTTGCCATTTTGCCATGGGAAGGGTCTCGATAAAACTGTAATTTATTTTATAAATTGACCCTATTGTCTTCCAATGTTACTCTGGCATTTTTATTTTGAATAATTATTGCTATTGATTGTTGTTTTGCCATGCCATGCCCTTGTATTTCTTTGATAGACAATATACTTAAATAATTTTATTTATCCTCCATATGCCTGTCCCTTAATTTTCGCCCTACAATGATAAATCTGAATGGCCTTGAAACTCGAATATCCCTGATTTTGGAATGCCCTGCCCACCTACGTCAATACAGTATAAAGCCAGTGTTACGGTACCAGACTCCACCGGCCCAGAACGGTATGAACCCATTACCTCCCAATTTATTTTCTTATTAAAACCTACCAGTTAGGTTCATATTGCGCATGGTGAAATGAGCAGTTCTTATGCAAGATGAAAACCAGGAATCTAGAAATGACTTTCAGTTGACTCAAACTCCAAAATTGCCAATATGGCCGCCACATGCCCTGGTCCATTACCATGTTGATCTGTAGTAAATCTTCAACATCTTCACTGCAGTTGAATTAATACTAATTTTAATTTTTATCTTATGTATTATGTCTTCAAAACTATAAATGAAGTAACTCATCTTTTTTTTTTTCTTTCAATGCCTTGAAACTGGTTGTATATTGATTCCATTCTGTTTTCGGTTCTATTACAGAATTCTGACCATTTCTGCAGAATTGGGAACAGTTTTGGAATGTTACTTGGATGTTATTCCCACTCTGGAAGAGGTAAGTTTAATATCTTGCCATCTGCTGCAAAGCTTATCTGCCTTGATTCTATAACTCAGGTCTGAGTCTGCAGCTTTGAAATCACATGCATATGTATAGTGATCAAGTACAGGGGTGACTGAGCTGCACTTTGTCCACAGACCATAGGATCTCCAACCTGTCTCATTAGATTTAGGCTATTATATCTTCAACAAATTCAAAGAAACAAAAAATGGTTGTAGGACCCCTGTCCTCTCCAGATTCAGGAAACATTAACCCTAAATATTATGATGCCTTTGCCTTTGCTTCCAAGAATTGGTCTGGTGTCGGCTTTTATTCCCTAAGCTTAGCTTTGTATGTAAGGGTGTGTGAGTGAGAAATTAGTCAGATGTTATTATATTGTAGTATAAACAGTTTAAAGGATCAGAAGATTTTGATTGTGAATGTCGAATGATGGTACACCAGAGTCAAGCTGGATGTGTTATTGGTAGAGCTGGTTTTAAAATCAAAGAATTGAGAGATGTAAGTATTAACAAAATGGAATTTGAGGCATTTCTTAACTCAAACTTGGAGAGCAACATTGGGTCTTACTTTTGATATATGGTGGTGCTTAGTTAAAATATGATTGCTGCTCGTTATATATTGTTCTGTTGGATTATTTTCAGAAAACTGGAGCCAACATCAAGGTGTACTCACAGTGCTGTCCTCAATCAACTGAGAGAGTTGTTCAGATTTGTGGTAAACCAAGAACAGTGGTTGGATGTATTGAAGAAATCTTTGAACTACTACAGACCGTAAGTTGTCTAAATTTATACTTATCATTAAGATGTAAAGTTAGATGTATCAAAATTGCTGTCGTTTTTGGGACTTATTTTAATTAAAAACTGGTTTATTATTCAAAATTATTGCCTGGTAAAAATTTGTATTTTTAAGAACTGATTTTTTTTCCAGGCTCCACCTAAAGGACCTAATCAACAATATGATCCTCATAATTATGATGAGTTTTTCTCTCATGAGTATGGAGGATTTACTATGCAGGATATGAGAGGAGGAGGACGAGGTGGTCGTGGTGGTGGTAGAGGAGGAGGAATGAGAGGAGGACGGTAAGTTTGAAGGACCACTTACTCAGATAATAAGAATAGCAATATTACACAAACTGGTCTAATGATGTTTTACAGGTTCTGCAGGTTAAGGTTCTGTTGACAGATATCTGACACAGCAAAAATTTCCTTTTACACTACATAGAATTGACCTGTCTTCATTATCCATATCCAAGTCAGGAGCCATGGTGTTTCATAATAAAATGAGTATATTTTGGTATATTTCAGTGGAGGAGGATTTGGAGGAAGAGGTGGTGGTAATCGTATGGGTGGTGGAGGTGGTAATCGTATGGGAGGTGGTATGAGAGGAGGACGTGATCAAGGTGGTATGGGAATGAATAGAAGACAAGGTGGCGGAGGAGGAGGTAGAAGAGGGTAAGTTATCTTGTGATAATAGAGTCCTTGAAAAACACAGAACGCCACTATAGATCAAAAGTGTCAGACAGTTTAGGCCCATGGTGGTATCATGTCTTCTTTCTCCAGTGATCCTCCTGCAACTGTGAAGTCTTTATATCTGGATTCAAGAGCTCATGGGTTGGTTAAATTTGGAAGTTTGTATGGATATTATAAGGGCCATCAAGGGATGTGTCTAATTATCTTCATTTCAAATGTTAACATCAGAAAACTTTTTTTTCTTTAGTGGTATGGATGGTGGTATGGGAGGATATAATGACGGAGGTAAATATTAAATATTGACGAATTAAAGACAGAAACTGATGAGTTGTTGATTGAACTGCATCACTTAATTTCAGCAAAGAACTGGTCCACTCATGAACTTCATTTTTCCCCTAAATCCTTACTTTATTAATAGCATTATAATTAATATAATTTGATAAATTATGAATTTATGGATGTTGTTTAAGGTGATATTAAGATATTTGTGTATATTTGTATAGGATATGGTATGAATAGAGGTGGTATGGGAGGAGGTTATGATGGTGGTATGGGAGGTTATGATGATGGTGTAAGTATTAATACATTGCTCTTCAGTTCTTCTGAATTATGGATTACCATTGCTTGTAAGCTTAGCCATTTACAGCTGGATTTTACAGAAACTTGCAGATGTTCCCTCAACAGTAACCTGATTTAAAAGTTAAATTTCTATTATAGGGAGAGCATTTGATTTGATTTGAAATGCCATTGCCATTTATTTGGTTGGTGCCTGAAAGTTTACTGACTTTGAATCAGTCTGTTTCTGTCAATCCAGTTGTAAATGACTATCTGGGAAAGATCAGGTAAAGCAAAAGAATAGCTGGTGGACAAATTAGGGAGTACTTAAGTTGTTATACTTGTACAAACAAATGGCTGTTTATTGTCTGGAAAGTTCAAAGAGACGATTAAGACAAATAGCATGTATAAAGAATATTGTCAACAGAGATATGTAAATGTTTTATTACTCTATTTTCAGCCTATGGATCCACCAATGTCCCTAGCTGCAGGAATGGGTGGCAGTATGGGTGGAGGAATGGGAGGAGGTATGGGTGGTGGTGGAATGGGTAGCAATGAACCTGAAATATCTACTCAAGTTACCATACCCAAAGATGTAAGTTCATATGTAAATTCTTTAAATCTAAACACACTTAAAGCATAAATTTAACTGATGAATAAAGAAGTGTAAATAGATATAAAATTTTTCAAAGAATTCATGCAAGCTGTAAATAAAAAGTATTTATTTTATGGCAATCAAAAGAGGCACGAGGTTAACCTTCTGTGTGTATTTATTGTAGTTGGCTGGTGCCATTATTGGTAAAGGTGGAACCCGTATATCAGAGATCAGACACAATTCAGGAGCTAATATTGTTATTGATGAAGCTTTGCCTGGTTCTACAGACAGAATAATAACTATCACTGGTACACAAGAAAATATCAATACAGCTCAGTATCTGTTACAGTCAAGGTAGGGTGTACAATATTAGTGTATGCTTACACTTATTAACAATTTAACATGTAGTATGAGGTGTTAGTAGTTATTTCAGTCTATAATATTAGTTATTGGTTGTAGTGGACATATCAAGTTTGGTGAAAGGTTCCTGGTTTTTATTGTATTATAGACTATACTGCTCTTGAAAGAGTTTTGAAAGGTTGAATTCACTCATACTTGGGAAAACCTGTAAATGAGATGCTATTTCTAGTAATAGATAGTACTTGACATGATTTATAACTTATTTGTTTACAAAGATAGTAGCTAGTTGAAAATAGCTAATAAATTTAAGAAGATTTGAGAATTCTGATTAACTAATTATGGTGATGGAATTTAATAAACTACTTGTGATTCGAGAATTCTGTTGGCAATTTGAGAATTCTGATTTTGGTGATATGGGATTGCTTTCTGGTGATTTTAATTCACTAATTAACTTTTGCTAAATTTGGAATGCTTATTAACTTTAAGTGATTTTGGAATGCTTCTTAACTTTTGTTGATTTTGCAATGCTTATCAGCTTCTGGTGGTTTGGGAATTCTTATTAAGTACTGGTGATTTGGGAATTCTTATTTAGTACTGGTGATTTTGGAATGCTTATTAACTTATGGTGAATAGGGAATGCTTATTGACATTTGGTGATTTGGGAATTTTTATTGACATTTGGTTATTTGGCAAATCTTTTTAACTTCTGGTGATTTGAGATTGCTTATTAACTTCTGGTGATTTGGCAAAGCTTATTAACATCTGGTGATTTGGGAATGCTTAATAACATCTGGTGATTTGGCAAAGCTTAATAACATCTGGTGATTTGGCAAAGCTTAATAACATCTGGTGATTTAGCAAAGCTTAATAACATATGGTGATTTAGCAAAGCTTAATAACATCTGGTGATTTGGCAAAGCTTATTAACTTCTGAGGATTGGGATTGCTTAATAACATCTGGTGATTTGGCAAAGCTTAATAACATCTGGTGATTTAGCAAAGCTTAATAACATCTGGTGATTTGGCAAAGCTTATTAACTTCTGAGGATTGGGAATGCTTAATAACATCTGGTGATTTGGCAAAGCTTATTAACATCTGGTAATTTGAGATTGCTTATTAATTTCTGGTGATTTAGCAAAGCTTATTAACATCTGGTGATTTGGGAATGCTTAATAACATCTGGTGATTTGGCAAAGCTTATTTAACTTCTGGTGATTTGGGAATGCTTAATAACATCTGGTGATTTGGGAATGCTTATTAACTAATAACCTATCTACCCTGGTCTGGAAGACTAGTGATTTTGTTGTTTTAATTTCAGTATTAACAATAAATCACATTCTTCCCAGATTGTGGTTGATCTTAACATCTTGCATTACCCCACTAATAACTGACAGTTTAAATTATAGTTAACATTACAGTCTTCAGAACTTCAACAGAATATATGTGTCCATGAAATTTTGCTTGAATTTTCCTTCTTAGTTAAAATTTTTAGAGCTGTAGAAGTTTGATTTGTTTGCTGGTTGGTGAAAAATGTGACCTCGTTAACCTTAACTTCTTACAGTTTAATGCCTTTTTTGGGGCTAAAAAATAGGAAAATTGCAAGCATACAGTTATCCAAGTATTTTATTTACTAGTACATTGATGTAAATTTAGCTTCCCATACCACTTTTCTGAATGAAATTCTTGTACTCGATTCAACTGCAATTAAAGTTTCAAAATTTGGCTATATGTTGAAATGTGTTTATATTTCAGTGTTAAGAGATATTCTGGAAAGTTTGCAGGCGGAGGTCAAGGAAGCAATGAACAAAGATTTTAAAATAACTACTCTACATTCATAAATGATGTTGTAATAAATGTTAATTGTATTTTATTCTTCATGTATCTAATACAATTTCTTCATATTGTACTCTTATAGTTTTATTCCTTGAATGATTTCCTCTTGTTGTAGATAGGAACTGGAATTTTAATCTTTCTTACATTGTTATGATTACAGGACAAAATTTGGCATGTATTTGATATCAAAAGTTTTCATTCATTCATCTTTATTCATCTCAAGTTGATATCTTCTCTTGAAGAGTATTTTTATCATTTAAAATGTTTGTTTTTCTCATTATTTTAATTGTCAACTGTTATAAGAGTTAAAATAAAACAGTAATTCTGTCATATCTTGTCATTGTGCACGTCACATTTTAACTTTTTAGTTCAATGTTGCCTATTTATTCCTTTTTTAAGAATCAACTGCACTAATTAAGAGACTTTGGTTACTTAACTGTTGTCAGTATGAACATCTGATAGCTTCATATAAATGAGAAGTCATTGAATTTTTCATGTCCTGCATGACCTGGTGAAGGTTCATATCAAGAAGTCATTGAATTGATTCATTTCCTGCATGACTTGGTGAAGGTTCATATCAAGAAGTCATTGAATTGATTCATTTCCTGCATGACTTGGTGAAGGTTCATATCAATAAGTCATTGAATTTTTCATGTCCTGCATGACTTGGTGAAGGTTCATATCAATAAGTCATTGAATTTTTCATGTCCTGCATGACTTGGTGAAGGTTCATATCAAGAAGTCAATGAATTGATTCACATAGGCTGGGTAGTAAAATGAAATATAAAATAAAGGATGTTTTATTTACTTAGTACCATATATTAGATTTTTACCTACAATATCACCCATTATTAACAGATAATAATAACAATAATATAGGTTGAGAACACAAACATTGTAATAATACCTATTTCTATATCATCTACATAGAATATATACTGACTTAATCATATTCAATACTGGCACTAAACGAAGGCTCTGACTGACCTTGCAACTGGAATTTCAATGACTGCCCTTGACCATTATCCTTCAAATAGTTGACCTGGGCCAGTTGTTGCGTTCCTATTTGTCAAATGTATTGTATTTATCAATGTAAAAGTCCTTACACTTGCAACAAATTCTTCTAGTAAGGTTTTTTGTGGAACAGACCCCTGAGAAAAATCAATTCCATCACAGTTGCAAAATCAATCAATCAAGCCAGTCAACTTGAACCTACCATAAACCCTAACAATATTCCTACAGAAATCTTAAAGAATCTTTTGGCTAAATATATATATACTTCTCTATAAGGTGTCAAATCTTCTAAGATCAGAAATGTGACAAATAACATTTTTCTGTACATACTAGTCTGACTACTATCAAGACATCTTCACAATGTCAAGCTATTATGAACTTCATCTTATACCTTGACTGCAATAGCAACTTTCTTGTGGCACACAAGCCCTTGAAAGACAGACTGTAAACATCATGTCAAAGACTAATTGGCTGTGTTCAGTAACGTACAATCCAACCAAATCACTGCATTTACAACCTCCCATGATACATGGCTATCACAGTCAAGGTATAAAACAAAGTAATATCTTGACATTGTGAAGATGCTATGAAGGTGTCTCACAATTTCTCATGGAAAATCAGGAATAAATAGTTCCTGATAGTCTAACATTGTTATAGTCTTTTGTAAGAAAAGATTTGATATGGAATGATATTATAATAATGAGCAATGTTTATACAATAACAAGTGTTGTACAACTAGGACAGATACTGTAAATCTGTTTCAAAGAATGAAAAGATACTGCTTTAAGACATTGCTTGAGAATAGATCTCATATGAATTTCTGGGCAATATATATATAGACTCAAATGAAAGTTTTAAGCATCACAAATGCCCAAGACAAACCACAGGTTGTAAGGATTGCAATTCAAATGAAGGACATTGCTTCAAAAGATTGAAATAATTGTTAGCAAGACTAAATAATGGAGTCGAGCAAAAATAATTTTTGTACATCCAGGGATTATTTATAACAACCATGAGCAATCCATTTTGCATTAAGGTAGATTAAGAATAAAGACTTTAATTTCAAAGCTACTTATTCTACCTGGAAAAAATAGACTGCTCTTGTTCATGGTTGTTGTCACAATGTCAAGAGACTGTGCTTTATACCTTGACTTTCTTAGGCTCTTTTTATATAACGGCAGTTCATAAATGCAGCGATTTAATTGGATTGTACGATACAACCAATCCGAGCCCTAGGGAAGTCTGTAAAACATAAGCCATAATGTCAAGACCTCTAATTGGTTGTATTTGTTCGTGTTTAATCCAATCAATCGCTGCATTCCATGATACAAAAAAATATAGCTAAATGAAGTCAAGGTATTAGACTTGGTTTGTAAAAGCTTGACATTGTGAGGATGTTTTGAATTGAACCTGGATGTGCATAATTAACTTGTTAACAATAGCCTGGTACTAGTAAATAAATATAATTATAGAAATGTTCTAATTAAGAAATACTAATAGATAATAATTACAATTGCAGGTATAATTTATATATAATGATAAATACAAAGAACACATCAGAAATTCACACTGTAAAATATTTTCACTAAAGATCTAATTTAATCTAACAAAGGCATGAAAGCAGTACATAAGTGTTAAGATTTTTAAAAATAAGAAATTGTTTGTCTAAAAACCTGTGCAAAGCATTAATTTAAACTAAATATTCATTCCAGAAAATAAATCAAGAAACATTGTAAATGGATTGTAAAGAGGTTTTAAAGACAAAAAATTTCGAAGTATATTAAAGGTATACTACCTACTTTTTGGATGACCAAAAAATTGAAATTTTTAAACTTGGATAAAATGAGTCTTTGTTCATCAGTAAACTTACCTGTGTGTCAAAACTATACAACAGAATCCATCTATAATCCAATACAATAAGTAATTACTTAGTTTAATGAATATATCATCTTATATAGAGATACTATCCTTTAGTCATGGTACCTGGTAAATCCAACTGATGAATATATACACTTATTGACCTAGTTTGAGACTTTAAATTTTATGTCCATTCTAAAAGAGATAATATCCTTTTAAGGAGAGACAAAAGACAGTAAAGTAAACAAAACAAACATGTTGATGAGAAATCCTGAGAAAATCTATATATAATAACAGCAAATATATCTAAAAAGCACACACTACTTGAATATACATAAAAGGCCTACATGAATAAACCACTTCTAATAGGGGCGTTTTTGTGTAACCATTAAGGATCTAAGATATACTAAGATCTTACTACCAAGGAAGACTTATATACTGAACTGATCTGTTAATGGTTGCACAAAAACACCTTGAGTAGATGGTATAATTGCATAGCTTGTTACATTAAGAGGTTCTCTAGTTAGCATTAAGGTTTTGTATTGTGCCCTTCTGCGATATCCAGGGTGACACTAAAGGCGTATTCCAAACTACATTCTTTACAATTGAGAAGATCAAAAGAACCAAATGTGTTCCTGTCATCTGATTGGTCAATCACTAAAATCGATCATAAATGTAGTTTTACTATCAGATTACTGTATTTTTTTAATCCGACTGCTTACTCTCGAAATAATGATGTCCTACACACAGTTTCAAAGATATCCTAGTGCTAAGATCTTTTTCGAGAAAACACGGCCTAGATTTTTCCTTAGTTACTTCTAAGAAAGAGAAAAAATGCCTTTGGATACTAAGTTGTAGAGAACATAGTTTAAAATACGATTTATCACTCTATAAGTACCGAATTGAACTGTCATTATATTTTTTGGTCTTTTGTATAAACAGCGGATATTCAACTACTGAAAAAGAGGAAAAATAAACAAACACATAAAGCAACAAATCAGCAGTGTAAATATTACCACCAACAAAATAAAGACAATCAAATTGATTATATGTAAAATTATTTACAAAAAAAAAATTGAAAATTAACAATATTTACAATAACATGAGATAACTTCATTACATTTCTACACAGAAAATAACTTGGTATTTGCCCTCAACCACCAAATCTTATCAATTGTAAAATTCCCAATTAATCTATATTAATCATGATTAAAAAAAAGACAAAAAGATCACGAAACATTAACCACAGATATACCAAGTGATTACCAAGATACTCAGTTACTCTATACTGTATATGTGATAAATATGTTCAATATGGCAGCATTATTCTAACAAAAAATTGCAAGAGACTTGAATTTGATTCTTGATTCTGAATATTTGTGTAAGTATGAATCATTGTGTGGACCTTTATATAAATTAAGAAAACAGTTTTCTACACTGCAATAGTTAAGAAATGTTCATCATATTTTAATCATTGACTCTCTACAATTTAGATAATTCCAATATATCATGTACTATCTAATTCATAATTTATTTTGTAGTTATAATTTTTTTAATGGATAATAATGACAAACAATGACCATGGACTCAAGTCTAAATATTTGCTTTATAAGATAAAAGAGCCGCCTTTCAGCTATCTGAAACACTTTTCAGAAATTATTCCCTGCTTATGGATCGTTTCAATTCAGCATTCAACAACCAACAGGCACTTAAAACTGATGATGCTAAAATAATTTTAATTTTTGACAGTCTATTACGTTTCATTTTTATTTAATTGTAAGGGAACAGGAAGTCAGAATATTGTTATAAATAGCTGAAATGGAGCTCTATTACCTGGTAAAGTCGCTATGTGGAGACCTTAGTTCCTTCAAGATAAAAAAAATCTGCAACAATTCAACTTTCTATAAGTATCACTATGTATTAAATACTGTTTATAGAAATAGAAGATTACCACAGCTCTAGCTAACAAACCTTTTATTATAATAATATACAGGTTTCAATTTGATTAATGTCATAAATTACTACTTCTTACAATATATTAAATATCTAGGCACTTAGACAAACTGGTGAAAGAGAGCAGTAACGACAAACATGTCAATTAGAATCAGTCACCCTTTTAACACTGAGAGAACGTAATTAATTGTCATATTCCCTGAATGTTTTGTAACGTCACTTGGTAACAGCATCTTAACCAGCTGCTTGTGTATATCATATCATATGATGATGTTAGAGCAGCTGTTAGTATTGACAGAGTTAACTTTGCAATCAAAATTAACATATCTTACTCATGCTATGCTGAGTTAGGATGTATTTTTGATTGAATTAAGCCTGTTTTGTGTTGAATTAGGAATTAATATCTGGTCATTGCCTAAACCAAATTGAAAAGAAACGTGACTGTTTCTACAATTTCCTTATTCTTCATGCTTGTAAGTTTATTTAGATATCAACTCAATAACACAAGCTGAAATTGACCACTGTCTTCACCAGTTTGTCTACAGTATAACAGATCTATATCAAGTATTCTATATTTATATCTTGTGATCTAACAGTACAATAACAGAGAAATATATGTGCCATTTGGCTAATTCTACAAGTGATATATCAAATAACAAGCCTAATGGGGACTATAATCTAATACTTTTTGTGAATACAGTTCATTGTAAAAGGTGTTCAATATGCCGAGCGCATTAATAATAAAAATCCAACATGTAGTCGCAAATATATTTTGCTTTAACCAGCTGATAAAGTTAAATGTCCATCTGTGTCACTGTGAAATCTGGCAAAACTTGTAGCCTGGAAGTTTTGACTTGTACCTCACAGTTGAATTTTGTGAGAACTAGACATTGAATTTTAATTATAAAAAGTGACACAGATAGCTGAAATTGAGTTTATCGGTCGTGATGGCAAATATACTTTTTAACAGAAATTAAATTAATACCATATCATCTCTTTCTAAATCTAACTAATACATAAAATTCCATCCATCGTCTGTACTGTACTGTCATTTTTGTAATCAACATTTGCACTGCAACCTTTCACAATCTAAAGCATTTAACAATAATTCACAGACCTTGACCAGTGCTTCTATACCAACACTGGTTAAAAAGATGACTACTATTACTCTAGTTCTATATTTCTATATAGTGTTTTAGATGATTTATAGAAAGTCTCGAATTCACTTGTATTTTAATGGGAGATTGTCTTAAATAAAATATTTTGAAGGGATTGTAAAGAGGGACCTCTAAACTTTTTATGTGAATTGGGGAAACTGATAGCATTTCAGTCAGACATCTGTGGATCTAGCAATTCCACTAAACTAAGTCTTTGAGCTTTAGCGTCACTATTGCACAAGGCATAAATAATATCCTAGGGAACATAAAAAGTTCAGAAAATCTTCCCACAATCCCTTAAAGAGAAATCAAAATACATATGGATTGTAAACATAAGAAAAAAAAGGAGACCAATAATACATGATGATAGTGTTGGAGACATCATTGTAAAGGAACAAGTATATTCACATAATTGGTAGGGAAATAACCCACAACCCCATTTAATGATCCTTCGCACCAATTCTCATCAATATGACTTAATAATGTTATAGTATCACCTTCCCGGAAACCCAGTTCACCTTCATTCTCTGGTTCAAAATCATATAAAGCTTCACATTTGGCTTGCTGTTTGTTGGAAACTGAAATTTAAAGGTTAAAATCATTAAGTATTAAAGTTTAATGATCAGATCAAACTGAATGGCAAAGATTTTTGATTTTTGATGACAATATGATTATGGTACAAGATAAATAATTTTCATTGTTTTATTATACTTAATCTACATCTAATTACACCTTTCTTAAAATCAAGTTCACCTTAAAGGACCAGATGTGCCATTTTAGGGGGTTGATTTGAGTCTTGAATATATCTTAATACTTTTTAGAAGTACTACAATTGTACGAATGTAACATAATTCCTTTAAAAATATCTCAAACTAGGAATTTCTTATGAACTATAGATGTCTTTTCTATATGGCAGTGTCTCAAGAAAAGACAACTCAAATTTCAACGGTGAGTTGAAAATATTATTACTGATTGGTTTAGCTAAAAAAATTCCCGTTCGTGAGAATAAGTTATGATTGGTTAAAAAAAAATGGCACATATGTTCCTTTAAAATGTGATTGAAGTAAAAATTTGGTACAAATCTATAGTCATAAGAAACAATTTAATGTTCAAAATCTTGGAAAAGGTGGCAATGTTTAGACTTAACACTTTCGACAGTATTTGATTGACTGAATTTTCATTTTTGGAATATTAGAACGATTTTGAAACTAATATTTGGAATTCACTTTAAACTCATTGGTAAAATTTTATTTATCGACACAAGTGCAAAAATGGTAATATTTCAATAGGTGAATGTTTTAATAAGTTATTTTGGGATGACAACACCTTAACTCACCATCATAATTATTATCAAAATTATTATCAAATCCATCATATCCTATTGTTAGCATAAATTAAATAGAAAAAAAAACACATTATCATAGTAGCCTTGTGTTTAATGACATCAAAAATGGATGATAAATTTATTTCATACTAGAAAAATGTCTTTATAATTTAATCAATCACCACAGAAAAACCTTTTTAATTAACATGCAAAATGAGATCTTTTGTTTTTTATTTTTCTGCTGTTAACTTCACTTGTCAATCATGATCTGACAAACTGTTTAGTAACACATGTTCTAGGAAATTCATACAATCAACCAATCAAAAGCTTTCTTCAATAAACTTGTGAGGAATAATGGGGAATAATAGGCTGTTCATTGTTCAGTTTTGTTTTGTTAATTAATTTTTAACACTGTTTTTGATTGATAAAAATAAATTATGACAACTTTTGACACTTCTGCATCAAAATTCCATTGAACACAATTTAAGGATGCATTTTGTCAGATCACGGTTGGCAGGGATATTCTCTGATTAATCAGATTGCAGAAAAATTAAATTGAACTTAATGAGGAAAAAGGCCTGACATAAGAAAAAAATATTTGAAAATAAGCAAAAATTATTTTGTATTGACAAAAATCTGCCAATGAGCATCAAAGATTACCTATTCAGGCATCCAATCTGTCAAAAATTTAATAATATTCTCATGATACTTAGGGAATTAATCAAGACAAAACTCATGCAATTTTCATTGAAATGCAAATTTGTTTCAAATCATGAGAAATTAATATTTTTCAAATTTGCATTACGAAACAAAATTATATATAAAAAAATAAATTAAAAGCATGCTCTATCAAATAAACTAGAACTAATTCTGCACTTGCAAATAATAAAAAAAATTATCAATCTTAAAAATACTTTTAAATGCAGATAATTTCAACGGTAAGCTGTTAACACTTCTAATGAGAATTAGGTACAATTGATCTAATGGATGTTGAGCCTTGTCCCTTTAACAATATCTTCTATAATTTAGATTTTAAATTCAAAGAAAACATGTCAAAATTGACTGTACAGTCCTAAAAGGGATTGTAAAGAGGTTTCCTAAATTCATTATATTTATCAGGGACACTGATAGCATCAAAAATCAAGACGTCTGATTGAAAATTGGAATGGTGCAAATTGATGCTATCAGTGTCCCTACACAATAAAAAAAATTAGAAAACACCTTTACAATCTTTTTAACTTCTTTTTCAAGTTTTCAAGCAAGATATAATGAACAGCATGACAAATCAAACATAGCATAATCCAAATAATAAAAAACAAAACAAAAAAAAATAACATGCATACCCGATTGGTTATAATTAGGAGGTGCAGAGGATCCAAAATTGTAGCTACCTGAATTACCCATATTATTATCATGTGGTGTTTCATATAGTGGTGATGGTGAGGGGCTACGTCTAAATGATGAAATACGTTTGGGGATATGTTCATTTCGAGGTTTATTAGCTGCTTCATTTCTCCTGAAAAAAAAATATAACGGTTTATTAAAATGTGTAACCATAAAAAAAATAAAAAATATATATTCCTATAATGTTCGACCATTATTGTATTATTGAAATATCAACTCCAAATGCAACTTTGACTCTGATTTGAAGAAAATTACAAAAAGTTATTATTTGTTAATGAGATTTTACAGAAATTTTTTTTTATTCTGTATGTAATTTTCATGAGAAATGTTTTGGAAGGAAGGTTAATGCTAACTATGTATACTATTCTAGTACAAGGGAGGTAATTCTATTCTTTGTGATTGATAGGTTCTGCAGGTTCTGAAATCATGGAATTGACCGAGAAATTTAGTAAAACAGGTTGGACCAGAGTTCAGAATGTGTTACATGTATACCAAAAAAATTAGGAACCCAAATGTGGTTGCACTGTTGGACCAAACAACTATTGAAAAATACATACTTCTCTTCCAATGTTTCACATAATGATTGTAATGCTTCCATGGCTTGTCTATGATAATTAGTTTGGGCCTCTATAAATGCCTGAAGCTGTGCTATTTGTTCCACCTGAAAAACATTCATTAGGATATCAATTGATAAACCTTAAAACATCTTTTAACAAAAGGATATATTACTGATGAGCCAGAATTAAAGTTGGGACAATGCTAAACTCTTAAGAATCATTATATAGAATTGAACAAGCCATGGTTTAGTAATTTCGAAAGTACTTTCTGACTACCATGATTTCTGAATTGAATTTTGCCAATCGTTTGCCAATGAATTGAAATATCAACTACAAAATACTATTCAGAGTTTTAGATTGTTTTTGGATTGCTGAAAATGTCAACCAATGGAAAAGTTATTATTTGTAAACATAATTTTACAGAGGGGACATTTTTAGTCCTAAAAGTAGGTCAATTTCACGTGAGTTTTCTGGGAGGGAAGTGAGTCGATTTTAAAAGTAAAAATACTGAACCATGGACCGAAGAAATTCTAAGACAAATGGCATACAGTTATAAATTTTATTTTGAGTATCTATGTCAATTCAATTCAAATTCAATTCAAAGCTCAACATAGTCAGAATAGTTATATTTTGAAGTTGATATTTAAAACCACTACAGAGAAATTGGCATTGTTTGATTTACCAGAGTACAAAAACAGTAGACTAAAAAAAGCTCACTCTTTTCTTTACAAAAAAAAATTGTTTCTCACTGGATTTGATGTTTTTGAATATTGTCTAACTAAATTTATTGTTAGTATATTAATAATTGATGTAGTTATAATAAAAAATGGAGAAACAATAGATGGATACCTCATTATCTAATAAATTATTCATGGCTGTTTCAGTTAATGTTTTAGTTTCATCAAATTTCTCTTCCGCCATACTCAAATCATCTTCTGTTACATTTGCTCCTATAAAAACAACATTTCATTTATATCCAATAACAACATTCTTTAGTTTTATAGACACAAATCCAACCATAATACTCATCCTGTAGTGCAGAGAAAATTTTTGATTTCTAATTGGATTTTTATGGTGAATAATATGTTTTTTGATAGAGGAAAATCAACAATATGGTCTAGATATAATTTTGGTCACTTTTATAACTCATAAAAAAGGCTACCCATTACTTTTAACATTTCTAATTTATATTTCATTAGAGGTGCGAACATACAAGCGATCTTGGTCGGACACTTTTGTCAACTGGCACAGGCACGAGACAAAAATCTTCTGTCAGTCGTTTTCCACCTTGTTGATAATCATGTGCGGAGCATGCAATTGAAAGGAAAAGGAATCTGATTGGATGATGATGGTCTTTCTTGCAGATGATAAAACTATCGGAGACAATTATCAAACTTGTTGGCATCATGATAATCTTGTCGTGGAAGCACGGGAACAAGCGAGATTTTACTGAAGATTCAAGCCGGCAACAAAAATCTCTGACCAAGACCGCTTTTGTGCCCACACCATTAGTGGACACAAATTTTAGAAACTTGGGGGAACAGATAAGACTTCACGAGTAAGCTATATCGTGATCTTTTTTTTTTATGTGGTAAAAAAATTTCAAAAATTTCTGCAATCAAAGGATTGAATATTATGGACATCTACAAAATATGGTATATAATTTAATTACATATAAATGATTAAAACGAAATAAAAAAATTTTAATTGAACTTTAACATAAACTTAAACTCTGAACTAGGTTTTAGAATTTGAAGTTAAGTGGTGTCATTTGATAAAACTACTTCTGTTATTATAACAGGAAATAATGGCCATGTACCAAGATTACAGTTTTAATTTTAAAAGCCAACAATACATTTCCTTTTTCTTTAAATTATTTATAATGACTTTAAACTTGACCTGGATAAATCTAAACAAACAAAAACCACATGCATAATTCAAATCAACAAAATAAATGGCATGCCAAAAGAATTACAAAGTTCATGCATAACTGTTATCCAAAAAAAACTATACACTGCAAACATGCATAACATGTCACTGTGTTTTGTATTAACTTAAGAATTGTAAATATTTTATTGTCCAGTAAGCTCATATATATATATATATATATATATATATATACTAGTAGAACATTATATACTAAAAACCACCAGCCCATAATATTTGGCAATAGACCTATAGTACTGAGTAAGCTATATATAATAAACATTCTTTGATATATACAGAATGCAAGAGATAAGTACTATTCCAGTATGCTATACCACAGACATGAAGCTTGACTCTTTTCCTTGCTAATAATGTTCATAACCTACAACCTGATGTCCTACTAACCCTTGAGGACCACCAGAAAGGCACCGGTCAATCCTTTTGAAACATTTCATAGTAATTATGGTCATTCAAAACAACTGGTGACAAAAAAACGTAGCGATTTAAATTGGGTTGAGAAACCAGGATGCATTTACACTTCAGAATGCAAGACATCACTCTTACACAAAATTTGAATGATAGTTTTGTAAATGAATTATGAGCATTATGACTTCATAACACGAAGTCAGCCTAGCAAAAACATAGCCATTAATATTTCCTTTACCCACCAGCTTTCATTTGACTATCATAGGTTTCAAGGTTACAACCAGGAAGATAAGAATTGCGCATGAACTTAGTTTAGTATGTATTGTGTCAAGCAGAAATATCCACTAAACTAGCTGACAAAACCAAATCTGTCATAATTTAAATCAAGCCTGATACTCTACGGTTTACTTCAAGACAATTCTATTCAAATGTACCAAAATTTTCATCCAATACATGCACCTACAGCACAGTTAGTTAGAGCATTGTTTTTTTTACATGACGTCATTTGCTTGGTTAAGTTGAGCGAATGGCAGCTGTGGCTTCTGATCTCAATAATTCCAGTCGACCCAGCTGTTAATGGGTACGGATAATGTGGAAAAGATCAATGCCAAGAGGTTTGGTCAAGGATCAGCTGGTAGAAAGGATCCTTAACTGTGAATCCAAGTTGTTATCCTTGTAAAATATAGTTGTTTCTTCCTTTCTTAATTTTTAACAATATTTTCACAAACTAACCACAATTTTGCCAGGACAGTGATATTAGGTAACTCTTTTTTAAATTTCCAACTGTCAAGGGATCTTTAACATGCACACTCTGTATATTGTCCCATCAAATCACAAGACACATTCCCAAGTCAGCTTCTGTAACCTATATCACTGACATACGGTATCAGTAAGCTTATAACATAAATTGAGCAGAATAAATTGCATACCATACCATAATAAAAGAATAAAGCAGTTAGAAAATATGGAGAGAGGTCATGTAGTAAATAAAACATATAAATAGCAGGAAATTTGAGCTTTATCTGCCAGTAGATGGATCGTCAGACAAGACGTCTGATTTGAAATTTGAATGGTGCAAATTGATACTATCAGTGTACCAGTGATACACACAAAAATTTAAAAAACTTTTTAACAATCCCTTTAATAGAAACTGGTTAAGCAAGTGGCCTATTTTAATGACTGTTTTACACCAACTCTTCTATTTACTTTAGACCAAATGAATTGCTATTTAGATTTACTGGTAACCAATGTATAGTCACCTTACATAACCTCTCTTATGACTAAATGTTTAATAACTAAGAACCCCGAGCCTTTATTAGAGTATATAAGGTAAATTAAAACTAGATAATAATACTACCTGCGACTGTATAAACACGGCCATGCAGAGAAAAATGTAATGTTTGTTACATGAAATAAGGTACAGAATAGTTACTGAATCAAGTAAAGTTTCTATTTTTGGGGGAAAAAAGGTGAAAATGACTTAAATTTGAAAAACTTTGAAAAGAAAATGATTACAACAATTGAATGAATCTAGCTAACATGATATAGGAACTACAGTAACTAAATATGATGAAAGAAGATTTAAAAGCAACCACCACCTTGTGCAACGACACATATACTAGAACACTAGAACACAAAAATCTCTACAAAATACTCTTTTGATTCATTTATTTACAGTTGTTATTATACTGGAATTGAGATATTGCTTGATATGTTTATTTATTCTTAAACAAGAATTGAGATATTATATACTTATACTATAAGTTATTTATTTGTACTTTTAGAAGAATTCAGATAATGCTTGATATATATTTGTACTTTCAGAAGAATTGAGATATTGCTTGATATTTATTTGTACTTTTAGAAGAATTCAGATAATGCTTGATATATATTTGTACTTTCAGAAGAATTGAGATATTGCTTGATATATATTTGTACTTTTAGAAGAATTGAGATATTGCTTGATATATATTTGTACTTTTAGAAGAATTGAGATATTGCTTGATATATATTTGTACTTTTAGAAGAATTGAGATATTGCTTGATATACATTTGTACTTTTAGAAGAATTGAGATATTGCTTGATATATATTTGTACTTTAAGAATTGAGATATTGCTTGATATACATTTGTACTTTTAGAAGAATTGAGATAATGCTTGATATATATTTGTACTTTTAGAAGAATTGAGATATTGCTTAATATATATTTGTACTTTTAGAAGAATTCAGATAATGCTTGATATATATTTGTACTTTTAGAAGAATTGAGATATTGCTTGATATATATTTGTACTTTTAGAAGAATTCAGATAATGCTTGATATATATTTGTACTTTTAGAAGAATTGAGATATTGCTTGATATATGTTTGCACTTTAAGAATTGAGACATTGCTTGATTTGTTTATATACTTATACACAAAATCTAATTTTAATTTGAATATTACCTTCTGAAATACAATTCTTTAAATTAAATCTATTTCACTAATTTCAAGAGGGTTACACTTAATATATATGCTTTAGGCATTGGAGAACCAATTTTTCCTATACATAAATCATTATTACCTTATTAGAAGTTGTTTTCTTATTATTTCCTAATAACATTATCTAATCAAATACCATAGCCTACAGGTTAATACCTAATGAATTAATTAATATAAGTGATATATAGATCAGTTTTATATATCTCATAGATTGAGTCATTATCTTATAATAATCATATAACCTTATTATTAATAACATTTTTATATTAAAAGGGTGTTAAAAGAGCTTATATTAACATCCGATTATGAAACCAAATTTCTCTTTGTGGGGCTTAAAAATCAAAAACATAACTAATTAATCCAGAACACTGATTGGTTAATATTGTGGAAGTGATCATTTTGACCAATCAGATCTCTAGATCAAGATTTCTTCATGTGATATGAGATTATTATATACAATATGTTATGTCAACAAGACTCTAAATTAAATGCAGATCTATGTCCTTTTGAAGTTTTAATCCCAGATTACTTCACAAATTTCAAGATCTTAAGAAGTTTTTGAAATAATCGTGTTCAGTCAAACTTTGATCCACTTTCAAGATTGTCACAAATATACTCTAATAATCAATGCAAAACTTTCGCTAGAATTATTGAGTGACATAGACCTAGAATGGTCTTTTTTCTTCTGACTCTAATCCAGCTGACAACTGTCAAAATATCCATCAGAGGCTGGAATAGAGTCAGATGTTTCGGACTAGAAATTGTCCTGCATAAGAAATTTGTCCTATAGATTAACTCAAAGAAAAACATCCCCAAAATTTTGACATGCACTGCACACGAACCTTTCCATCCATGTTCCCCCCCCAGCCCCTCACCTCCTCCAAATATTTTATTTTGATTGATATACATGTAGCTTTAATGAAAACAAATGGACTGTCAAGTAATGAATGATACAAGGTGTGAGTACTGCCAGTGAACTAGAATGTATTTATTGTGTTCTTAAAAAAATCAATATTTTACAACAAAAGTATAGCTGGAAAATTAGAACCAGCCACTAGACATAATCATTCATGTATAAGCTTTGTTGCAATTATTTCACAGCATGTGGTGAAAACAATGTTCTCAGAACTTATTGGAAAATATTGACTAGCAGCAAGTGAGGTACAGCCAGAATAAGACAAGTGTTATCACAAATGCACTGGTGGAGGAGGGCTCGTTTCAACCAAATCTAATCAAAATTAGATTAAAAAAAAAGAAAATTTCTGATATTTTTGTCTCCATTGTAATCTAACAAGTTTTCTATCACAGTTTTGTTCTGATGATGATAATTGTAACCAATTAAAGCATGTCATGACCTGATGCTAGACAGAACATTGACAGAATGTGGGATATTGAAACCCTTACTGGATTATACTCAATATATATTATATAAAGATACTCATATCTATTTTTTTTATCTCCCTGATGAAGAGTTTAATTGTCTCTGTCTTATATGATAAGAATTAAAATGAAAGCTTGAAAGACCATAACCATGAGATAGAAAGACATGACAGTTATTATAATAAAATGTTTTTTAGTAATATGAAATACTTAGCTAATGACATCAATAACAATATCAATTTGAAGTGTAGATAATATCATATGACACTTACCGCCTAAAGGAAAGAAAAATGAATGAAAAAATTAAATAAAGTTCAAAAATGAAATAAAAAGCAGTTGAACACTAAAGAACATATTATACCTTTCCAAGTCCCCTACAGTTTTCAATAAAAATGTGATGTTCTTTTAAGCATTGTAGATTTTCAGAATTTTGAGGCAAAAATTTCCCTTTGGATTTTAGAATATGCTTCACAATAAACAAATTTCATAATTTTATCGAAAAATTCAAAAGTCAGATGTAAAAACAAATGGATTTGGAAATGTATGAGAAAAATGTAATTTATCCAAAGGCAATGTCAGGCATATTTTTTGTTTTTTTCTTTTTATTATTATTCATATTTCATAAAAAAAAAAAAAAAACAAGCCAACAGAAATCTTTCAGTAATTAAGCACATCAAATTTGAAGAACTTGAGCGTTCGGGGATTTGATTCTCAACCAATCAGATTCGCTTAAACTAAATATCATGCGAAAAATTATTCTAAAAGGTCACTGATTCTAACGCCCACAAATTTTCAAGTTAAAGTGTAATATCTATGTTTAAAAGTAGCATCTTAAAGTAAGACCAATATATCATTTAAAGGGATTGTAAAGACATTTTCTAAATTCTTCATGTGTATCACCACTGATAGCTTCAATTTGCACCATTCAGAACCATAAGATATCGGAATGAAAATTGGAAAGGTGCAAATCGATGCTATCAGTGTCCCGAATACACATAAAAAGTTAAGAAAAACCTCTTTACAATCCCTGTAAATGATATAGTGGTCTTACTGTGTCAAGGAAGTTGTCTCATAAGCCTTCATAAATTGAGAAAGATAATGAAGAAAACACTAGAAATACTCCTGATATTGCCTTTCTATATATGATAAATATAATATCAAAATCAAGTTTATTAACAAAATCGAACAGGTCAGTAAATATACTAGTGAATAAAGATGAACAAATCTCTAGTAATCTACTAATTAACTAATCAATTAACAACTAATTAACACATACCTTTTTCCTTCTTTCTTCTTTTACAATCATAATCCAATCTTCTACCTGACAATTTTTTACGATGATGCTAAATTTTAAAAATAAATATCGTGGAAAAATTTTGCGTAAAATTATCAAATGATATTTGGAAACAAAATTTCACAATTAAAAAAAAATTTGTCTTAAAGTGATACTACATCTTAGAATGAACATAAAATTTAAGAATTTTAAACTTGGCGAATAATAGCCAGTAGATATACCTGGTGTCATAAGTAACATAACAGAATCCTTATATAATCCGATAAATCAAAAAAACTTAATAATTATCATAAATATGCAATTAACTATTGAAAAACGCTTAATATCAAAATTAAGCGTTTTTCAATAATTACTTAGTTTTATAAATTTTCCAATTTTCCAGATTTAAAGGGATTCTGTTGTAACTTTATGACACCAGGTAAGTTAACTGATGAATATATACTCATATTGACCATTTCGAGAACTTAAATTTTATGTTTATTCTAAGATGTAGTATCACAGATGCAAATGACAGAAAATGCCAGGAAATGAAACTTACAGAATCAAACATGTTTTTTTTTTCAAATTGAAATGAATTGATAGGTTGTTTCCTCAAGTTGAAATATGTGGTTTTGTGGAATATTGGAATATTGCTACAATGATAATGGCCTAAGAGGTCCTGCACCTCAAAGAGTTAGTCTCTGACCCTCTCCCAGGCAACTAGCCATCAAAATTATCTGTTGGTGCTGGTAGAACGGTCATGATTTCTTGGACTACATCAGCATATGAAGGATAAATCCTTTGTAATAAGAACATTATATGTGTGATTTCAATCAAGCCCACAATCAAAAGAAACCACAATTTGCACTTGAGAAAAAAAAGGATCTCTTTTGATCAAAGAAAGATAAAAAACATGTCTAATGTCTATAAATCAACTCACATTAACTTCCTTAATTTCTTTCGATAACAATTGAGTTAGAGGATCTAAGAAAGTTTGTTTGACGTTATCTTCCAAACTATATTTGACTTCTGCTAAATGTTTAAATATTTCACCACTTTCCATTAAACTTTGACCTTCAAATGCAATAGATATTTATTAAATTATGATGAGGGGATTAGAAAATATGTAAAACTGCAATGAAATGATAAATGATGGAAGGACTGTTCAACAGGGCTTGAAAAAAATAATCCATTACTAGTTTAGATAACCATTACATTACAGTATGTCCTAAAATCAGAGTTTAAATTTGGAGAATACCGCCAATGGTATGCATCTGCCCATATATAACCATAAGATAAGGCCAATGGTAAGCATCTGCCCATATATAACCATAAGATAAGGCCAATGGTAAGCATCTGCCCATATATAACCATAAGATAAGGCCAATGGTATGTATCTGCCCATATATAACCATAAGATGATTCAATGAAATAAATTTGAAAAAAAAAAATCCTCCATTCAATAATTTTGTTGCATTTTATATCATTTAACAAAATATAATACTAAGTGCCCACTTCCGTATTTCCACAACTCCCTCCCTCCCTCCCTCTGACAATTTCCTGGCCCCTTCTTGCCTCCTGTGCATGATTCCTAAAAACGACACTGGCACGTGTCACTAGCAGGGCAGGGTAGGCTTACCCTTATGGAGCAACTGAGGCTACACTGTCATATGTTAGCTAATCAATAATCACAGAATTATTATTCAAATTTATCACAGTAGTAACTAAAAACAAATGTCACAACTTCTGCTGACTAATGAATAATAATCTAATAGTATATGACCTAGTGTTTTGACCTAAACACTAGAAGTTAATGATCCATGTTATGTGACCTTAATAAATTTGTTTTGTTTCACACATATATTACTTAATAGATAACATCATTTACATTATAATGTAATAGAGAACTGGCTAGACAAGTTAGATGATGACCTACAGCCTATAATTGAGAATTTCATTGTCTGGATTTTTTAATAACTAACTAAATCTAAGCTTTATAAGCTATAAGCATAAATGTTGATCATATTTTTGGTATATATATATGAAGTCATCTTCACAATGAAAAGCTAATATGCACTTCGTACATTTACTGCAATATTCCTTGATCACGGAATGCAGCAATTTCACTGTACGCTGCAGATATAACCAATCAGAGCCCTTGTCAGAAAGGCTGTTAATATTATGGTCTTGTGTTCACAGACTTTCTGTCGAGTCCTCTGATTGGCTGTATTCGCTAGCATACAATCCAATCAAATTGCTTCTTTTACAAACTTCCATGATACAAGAAAGGTGACTATTGAAGTCAAGATATAAGACTAAGTTGTTAGTAGCTTGACATTGTGAAGATAATTTGAGGTGAGATCAGCTGGCTTGGGCAATTCAAAGTGTCTTCTATTGTGTTGCAGTCAAAATGATTGAAGCATTCATATGGTTAATGGTCTATCAGAATAAATTTTTAATGGAAAGTTGAACACTTGCTACTCTTGGCAACAAATAGAAACTTTTTCAGCCATTTTAGTCACCAGCGCCATCTGGTACTCTAGTAAATCCAACAATTTATCAGACACTCCAAGAGGCCCCCTGCTTGCTATTAAGTCCTTCAAAACATAGTTGTTCTAGGATACAGCCACTCGCAAGGTCAACCTTTTCCCCCTTAATAAATGAGGTAACATTTTGGATATCTGAATGTACAGGTATCAATTCGAAATTTCAAAATAAAAAATATCAACTTACCAAAAACGGAATCTTCACCTAAATCCTTCCCATGTTTAGACATATGTTCACCTAATATTCCTTCTGGTTGAGGGTAGGGGGCTATTTTTCCTTGACCCCTAATCTTAGATATGGTATGCATTGTGCTTAATTTAGCTCTTGATGCTGAAATAAATCATTTTATAAACCAAATATTAATTATTTTCTTATAATCAATTTCTTTTTCTCTTATTTAATTACTGCTTTACTATATAGTTCATTAATCAAAGACTTCAAAATCTTGGATACTTTTATTAGGCTAGGATATAAGACTACACAATAGGCGTCGCTTACCTGGGTTTGGTTGGAGATATTCCTGAGTCTTAGCTATAAGGTCTTGAACCAAATTACCCATAACATCAATTTTCTGAAAAATGAAAAGATTATTTGAAGAGGAAATATTACTAGTATGTTAATTGTAGACAAATTACTTCCCTCATTTTGTCATTTGTCTTATGAATGTTTTAACTCATTTTTTTTTTCAAGATAAAGTCAAGTGAGATCAATTGTCTGAGCAAAGTAAAACGTTTTTTGAATTCTTTCTATTATTTTTCTGAGATTTGGAATAGCAGCCTCAAAATAATACCGGTACTGATAGTCTTAAAATGACTTTGCTTTGATAAAAGTATAAACATAAGCACATATTATGTCTTCAAAATTTGCTTTTACAGAGGCCCATTTTCAGCCAAACTTTTGGGTTGAAATTTCTAAGAGGGAAATGAGTTTCTTTTCAATGTAAACTTACAAATGAGCATATTTTTATCAACGCAAATACATTCTAAGTACTATTTTGAGACTGATATTCCAATTCTCTTAAAATATATCAAAAAAATTCAAAAAAACTTTTTAATTTGCACAGACAATAGGCCAGCTGCCATTATTTTTCTCTTTTTTATTCCTGCCATTGTAATGTAGGCCTGAACAACTGGATGAAGTCAGATGAAATCGCATGTGACAGACCAACTGATGGTGTCAAGCTATATAAACTCCACATGCATGCCTTGTAAGGTAATTCTGTTGTATCCTGCTCTAATCTGTCTAGCCACCTCTCCAATAATTGAATTTTTTACAGAAGTGGTTAAAGGGTAACCAAGAGCAAAAATAATTCTATCTAAATAATCTGTAAGACAGACTACAATAAATATACTACAAACAAGGAAGACATTATATAACTTCCCCTTTTATATTTAAAATACATTTATAGGTGATTTCATATCAACCATTCTACTTACTCTTTCCATTTCCATAAATTCATCATCAAGCTCTGTTCCTTTAGCACCACCAATTTTTTCACTCATATACTAAAATTAAACATATAGCCATCTCACCAAAATGTCTGAAGCATTTTATAAAATACACAACATGTTGGCATATAGATTCTATATATATTTTCTTTACCTTAGTTAAATTTATCATTTTTTGCTTGAGTCATATAACACATTCAAGAAAAAAAAGTCATAAAACACATATTGAGTCTTGAGTCATGCAATTACAAAATTTGGTGGGGCAATTGATTTATAAAAACTTTTTAGGCTGATCAGTTATATCAGCTTGATATAATCTCATTTATGCAGTCTTATTAACTGACATGCACATAGAAATACTTATTACTATACTATATACCTAGATTAGATTGCTATAAGATATAATTTAGGCCTAGGCAAAGGTCTGAAGCCAGTGTTTATTCCTCAGTATAGTACACAGTTTAGTCCTATTTTCAAATGATAGTATTAAAATCAATCACAGCATATCAACATAATAATGAATAAAAATAATGGCAACTGTGTTATAAAGTGTCTACAGTCAAAACACCTTAACAATGAGATACTTCTAGATGAACTTCTACAGAAACAAGGTGTGAATTTTCTTCAAGTATTGTAGCCTAACCACCCATCAGTCTACACAAATTATTTGTTAATTATTACTCAGTCAAAACTCATGTTCTCGAGCTTGTGCCGTTGTGGCAATATCAGAATTTCTAGAAGAGTTGTTTATCCTTCATTCGCTTCCTTACTAAAACCACATATTTCTAGACTCATACTTCAAATCAAGTGTTTATTATAGCTTTAAGTGAAGAAATACAAACCTGGTTGGCTTTATTAAATTGTTTCTTTAACCCAGCAAACGACATTTTGACAGAAATGATTAACAAATGTCACTCAACAAACTGGTCATTACACCTACTGGATTTCCCTCATGACGTCACATCTACCTCGCAGTAATTGACAAAATAAATTAGTTAAAATCTAAAATTTAATTTCAGTTATGTATTGTTTTGTCATAATATAACTTGAAAAATTCCATTAATATCTTGTAAAGGTAAATTAGAAACCAATTAAATTAAGCGAAAGTTCTGATCGGGTTGTTTCATTCCGAATCACGTCAAAATTGGTTTTGTGACTTAAAACTTCAAAACAGGTGCTCTCTAACACGATTAAAAAGAATATTTGCTTAAACGTAAATAGGCTGGAAATGTGTAGTTCTATTTTAATAAGATTGTCATTTATTTTGTAAATTCTTGTAAATATTGGTTCATAGACCTTATCCGTTTAGGAATTTATTTGAGTGAAACAACCCGGAAGCAAGTGCTCTTCTAGATAACGCGGGAGATGTCAACAACAACATTCGCGCCAACTTATGATTATTTTTTGGGGTATTTGTTATTTCCCTCAAAATTATAGCAAAAAGAAATAATAATGCAAGAGTTGTAATTTTCACAAATTATCCCTCAAATATGGATGACAGTGCACTGAATACATCAGGTGAGAATCGAATTTGCCGAAAGATAAAATACATCCCTGCACGGCTGCAGTGCTGCTGCGGTGGCTGGTGTCTTACCAGTGGCAAACGAAATACAAATAATGCCCAGTGTCCTCACTAGTGCAGAGATGGCAGTTTTTATGCAGCAAGTGAAGTCGAGGATAATAACTAATCGGGCATTAGTTAGATTGACAGTTAGCTATTGTATTCTACAACCTTGTGACTGACAGATGGGAATGGAACCATTATGCCTAATTATTGTACTTGTCGGCCAAATCAGAGCGTACGGTCAAGGCCTGTTGGACTTGGGGGATGGGGGCTGCCCAGAATGAGCAGAAATTGCCAGAATAGGATTTTTCCTACGATTCACTTTATTTCTTCCTTGTAATTTAATCAATTGTCACATTGAGTAGAGAATTCTGGCACTGTTGGAGTGTTGCAGCCAAGTTTCATATAGATAGCTCAACGGGAAGGGAAAGGGGTCCAAACTGCAACAGTTCCAGAATTCTTTGTTATATTTTATTAGTAACAATGGAAGACATTTCTGATGTAAATGATGCCCCTCCTATGAAGAAATTCAAACAGGGTAAGCTTATGTTAGGTTGTTTCCTCGTCTTGATCTTAAAATTTTGAAAAGCAGATAAGCTTCCACTTTGCAATGATTTTCATGATTCTTCAAAATGGATATATGGAGCTGTCATAGCCAGAAGGAGAGTTGCATCAGGGTAGTAAATGCCAAAATGCAGAAAGCATTAGTGTACCAGAATGGAGAGCATGTCCTGCATAATATAACACTTGCTTTAGCTTTGACTTACATGTAGAGTGGAGCGATCAAAGATCGTCTAAATAAAACATAGGATAGAAGCCTATTTTTTTGTATTTTTTTTTTTTAAAAGTTTATGAGAAGATTGTTGTTTTAATTTCCCATCTGTACAGCTAAGAGACCATTCCATTTCATATTTCAAGATTTTATGGTAACTAATTAATAATTATTTGATCTCAATCATTTCAGTTTGTCTGCCATTCAAGATTTTAGATTCCAAGACGCAGAATAAAGGTGGGAACAAGAAGAGGAAACTGTCTGATCAAGAATCACCAAGTGCCAAACCGCCAAAAACTTTAAAACAAGTTGTTAATAATGATAATAATAACAAAACTCGGGTGGTAGAAAATGACCCGGAAGTGAGTTCTAGTTCTGAAGCTGACCACTTACCATTGAATATCAGTGTGAAGCCTAAGACTGTCAGGAACAACATTCTAGAACGTTTCGTGCGGAAACCAACTCAAGAAGAAAAGGAGATTACGTCCACCATTGATGTTGATAAATGTGGGAATGATGGTGTCCATTCTACAAGTTTACAAACTCCGGAAAAAGGTCTGCTGAGTTTGAAAGGAGAGCAGTTACATTCAAACAAGACAAGTACGCCAAAATCGTGCAACAAACTAGGCTTCACGGTGAAGAAGGCTGATTCGAATACGGATGTCAAGGATAAGAAAGAATCCAGTAGTATTGAGGATGATATTGTGGAAATATCAGATGGTGATGATGAAAAAGAAGAAACTGAAAATGAAATGGATAAATCTTTAGATAAATCGTCCAGTTTAGATGAGAGTAAGATAGACTTATCATTATTATCGTCACCTGGTAAAAGTTCTAATAATGGTTTAGATAGTTCGGTATGTGAAACACCAAAATCACAACCAAAAACCGATGGTACTCCTGGTGTAAAGAAATCCGCATCTAAGGTACTGTCAATCTCCATTCATTTCATTTATTTATAGGGCTCGAATAAATCTGTTGCAACTTTGACAATTGTCTCATGAAAAAGAATCATTTGGGGTTGATACCGAGCACAATCAAAAACTTAGAAAGGTTTCATTCGTTCCATCGAAAAAATGAGGATTTATTAATTCATATTTAAGCTTTCTGAAAAAAAGAAGCAAGAAAGAGCTGAAATGAGATTAAGGATTAAAGAACAGAAAGAAAAAGAAAGAATGGAAAAGAAATTAATAAAAGAAAAGGAAATTCAAGAGAAGAAACAAAAACAAGAAGAAGCAAGATTAGAAAAAGAAAAATTAAAAAAAGAAGAAAAGGTTTGTTAGCCAAAAGTACTTTATATGAGACTGTGATCCCTTTTCCATATTAAAGGGACAGATGCGCTACTTTTGGGGGTTGATTTTAGTCTTGAATATATGTAAAATAGTCTTCACACTATCACTGATTGGCCTAGCTAAATATTTCCAGTTTCTGATTGATTGAAAAAAATGGCACACCTGTCAATTTAATAATGAAAACCAATGAAGTTTTTATCTTAAACATTATTTCTTTAATTTGTGACATCAAAAGGTAAATAAGTAAGCTTTTGTCATTTGTAGTATAGAACTAAATGCTTAAATACAATGCAAGGGCACTGGATGTGTGAATTTTTGTCCAAACTAACCTTCGCTCTTAATTACAACTGAAATATTGTGTTTTGTTGTTCAGGAAAAGAGGGAACGTGAAAAACAAGAGAAACTTGAAAAGTTGGAGAAAGAGAAATTGGAAAAACTTCAACAGAAGGAAGAAGAAAAACGCAAGAAACAAGAACTGATAGAGTAGGCTTTGATAACTTTCTTGATACTTAAGAAATAACATGATATATATCCATATCCTGATATATTAATGCTTAATATTGTGATATCAACTTGAACAATATAGCCCAGCCCTACTTGTATACAATATAGTTCATTATTATCATTACAGTTATGTTTTATTTGACGTATTTTACCTCTGACATTAAATTTATAGTTTAAAAATGGAAGAGAAGAAAAAGAAAGAAGAAGAGAAACGAATGAAAGAAGAGGAAAAGAAATTAAAAGAAGAAGAAAAGAAAAGAGAAGAAGAGGAGAAGGTTTGTATTATCTTATCCTTATATCCAGATGAATTTTTCTTTGAAGGGATTATAGATGCAAACTTAAGATTTTGAAATTTAAAGGGAAGGGTGTGCAATTTCTTTTTGGACCAATCATACTTTAGTCTCAGAAACAGAAATTTTTTAGTTAATCGGTAATAGTGTTCACAGCTCACCGTCAAAATTTGAGCCTTCAAATGCATGTGTGGCTAGAATTATCCGCATTTGAAAGTTAAGAATACAAGTCGTCTCTATATGAGCCACTGCCTTATATAGAAAATACATCTATAGAAATAAGAAAAGAAATTCCTAGTTTGAGATAATTTTGAAGGAATTATGTGATTTTTGTACTTCTGAAGACTACTTTACATATATTCAAGACTATCAACCCCCCAAAAAGGAACACCTGTCCCTTTAAACTTCAAAATTTTAAGTTTGCATCTATGATCTAAAAAATGATTCAGCTGGACCTGCACTCCTTAAAAGTGTGCATAAGTTGATAAATTGAAATCTTTAAATATCTCCTAATCAAAATTTTAATATCTTCATTAGAATAAAAAAGAAAAGAAAACCAAAGCTGCCTTTGAAGGGTTTTTTGTGAAGCAGAAGGTACCAGAACCACAGGTATGTAATCATAGAGAAATAGCATCAAGTTGTTTGTATTAGATCATATATACTGGGGCATAGCGTGCTATGTAGGTTAAAGATACCACAAACCGCAAAAGTCTGAAATAGAAAAAAAGAGTAGGCTAATATTAATGCCCTGGATATTTTTCCCACATTGCACACTGCATGGTTCTACCTGTCTGGTGCAGAAAAATAACACAACCCCATTTTTATTTTCATCTATGCCAAAATTGGTGATAAGTTGTTTGATTTCTCCCATACAGGACAAAGATGAATTTCTGAATTTTACCTTTTGAATAGAGTTACACTGCATAAGATTTAGATACTATTCCAATCTTAATCAATATCGTTTTTTTTTTTAATGGCAGCCAGTTGAAGTGACTACCAGTGTAAAAACAAGTGAATGTATTGAAATAAAGAAAGATACATATAGAGTTTCTGGTAACTGGAGAATTTTATCATCAACTGAAAAACAGAACTTAGATTCACTCATGAAATCATCTCAGGTAACAACTAGTATAAAATTATCCTTCAGTTCATATTGTCCTGTTTGGAATGTGGATGATGAAAAGAGTATTCTTAAGAATAATTTAAGCCTAGTTTTAATGTCTTACAAAGTATGTTAAAAGTATTCCTAGTGACAGATAGATACCTCATATAAATAAGATATTGTTAGGCCATACAAAATAAATAGTCTGTTTTACAGGCGCAAAAATGCCTGATTGTTGCCTTAATATGAAATGTACATTAAACTTGTGGTAAATAATATATATTTTCGCTTGCTCTGATTTATCCCAGTTGAAAATCTAAAATAGCGCTTTATAAATAATAAATTTAAAAAATTCGCCCTCTCACCCCGATTTTTGAAAAAAAGGCTTGTAGAACGGACTATTTATTTTGTATGACGTACATATACACATTGCTGAATTGTTTGAATTGATTCAACATGATGAAACAAATTCATTGATGAAGTGACTTGATTTATGAAAATATTATGATGGTATTTGAATGAAATGGCGAAGTTAAATAATTGATGCTATGATATATGATTTATTTAAATGTTGTGATCAGTGATGAGACTATATTATTGATGCTATGATATATGATTTAATGATATGATATGATTGATGAAGTGATTGATAAAATGATATGATTGATAAACATATTTTTCAGGAAAACTGTAAATTATACCTTAGTGATATAAAATCCATCAACTATAAACCTCTTAAAGCTGGTCCTGAACAGTATAGGTATGTCTTTTTCATTTTTGCCCTGGTCCTGTTCCACAATACATCTTAAGATAGGAAAATCATGGGTAAACTTTTTAACTATTTTGTACAGTTACAAATTGATTGTCATTGATCATATTTATTTCAGTCAAAGAAAATTAGATACAGATGAATTGATTATACATGATTCAGAAACAGTGAAAAAATTTACACATCATGTTAAATATATTTATTTCCACACTAACTACCGTCCACCATATTATGGCACATGGAGAAAGAAAAGTCAAAAACTAACGGCAAGGAATCCTTTTAAAATGGATGAGGTCAGTAAAATTTAAAAATAAAACTGGCTGAAAAGAGTGTCCTATGCTCATTTAAAACTCTCATGAATTACCTTAAAGTCAAAATCAAGCTTTCTTAGCCATTTCTGCTAGAGCATGCGCAATACATACATGACTCAGGCAGTGGAGAAGCCAGTAAAGATAGAGTCTAATGAAAGTGAAGCTTTAGTTTGAAGGAGTTCGGTGCAATTGGTATGGTACTATTTACATATATTAAAGGCCAAAAGCAACCCCCACCCCCCAAAATGGTGATTGTAACCCCATAAAAGAGGTATGTTTTATCCATGAAATTATAAATATATAAATGTAACCTCTACAGGATTTATTAGACTATGAAGTTGATAGTGATGATGAATGGGAAGAAGAAGAACCTGGTGAGAGTTTATCAGCATCTGAGGTATTATTCCATTATCTATCATACAGCATTATTGTATTATTCCATCATTTATCATACAGCATTATTGTATTATTCCATCATCTATCATACAACATTATTGTGTTATTCCATCATCTATCATACAGCCTTATTGCATTATTCCATCATCTACCATACAGCCTTATTGTATTATTCCATCATCAATCATACAGTTTTATCGTATTTTTCCATCATCTATCATACAGCATTATTGTATTATTACATCATCTATCATACAGCATTATTGTATTATTCCATCATTTATCATACAGCATTATTGTATTATTCCATCATCTATCATACAACATTATTGTGTTATTCCATCATCTATCATACAGCCTTATTGCATTATTCCATCATCTACCATACAGCCTTATTGTATTATTCCATCATCAATCATACAGTTTTATCGTATTTTTCCATCATCTATCATACAGCATTATTGTATTATTCCATCATCTATCATACAGCATTATTGTATTATTCCATTATCTATCATACAGCATTATTGTGTTATTCCATCATCTATCATACCGTATTATTGTATTATTACATCATCTATCATACAGTATTATTGTATTATTCCATTATCTATCATACAGCATTATTGTGTTATTGCATCATCTATCATACCGTATTATTGTATTATTACATCATCTATCATACAGCATTATTGTATTATTCCATTATCTATCATACAGCATTATTGTGTTATTCCATCATCTATCATACCGTATTATTGTATTATTCCATCATCTATCATACAGTATTATTGTATTATTCCATCATCTATCATACAGCATTATTGTGTTATTCCATCATCTATCATACAGCATTATTGTGTTATTGCATCATCATCATACAGCATTCTTGTATTATTCCATCATCTATCATACAGCATTATTGTATTATTCCATCATCTATCATACAGCATTATTGTGTTATTCCATCATCATCATACAGCATTATTGTATTATTCCATCATCTATCATACAGCATTATTGTATTATTCCATCATTAATCATACAGCATTATTGTATTATTCCATCATCTATCATACAACATTATTGTATTATTCCATCATCTATCATACAACATTATTGTATTATTCCATCATCTATCATACAACATTATTGTATTATTCCATCATCTATCATACAACATTATTGTGTTATTGCATCATCATCATACAACATTATTGTATTATTCCATCATCTATCATACAGTATTATTGTATTATTCCATTATCTATCATACAGCATTCTTGTATTATTCCATCATCTATCATACAGCATTATTGTATTATTCCATCATCTATCATACAACATTATTGTGTCATTGCATCATCATCATACAGCATTATTGTATTATTCCATTATCTATCATACAGCATTATTGCATTATTCCATCATCTATCATACAGCATTATTGTGTTATTCCATCATCAATCATACAGCATTATTGTATTATTCCATCATCAATCATACAGCATTATTGTGTTATTGCATCATCATCATACAGCATTATCGTATTATTCCATCATTAATCATACAACATTATTGTATTATTCCATCATCTATCATACAGCATTATCGTATTATTCCATCATTAATCATACAGCATTATTGTATTATTCCATCATCTATCATACAACATTACTGTGTTATTCCATCATCAATCATACAGCATTATTGTATTATTCCATCATCAATCATACAGCATTATTGTGTTATTCCATCATCAATCATACAGTATTATTGTATTATTCCATTATCTATCATACAGCATTATTGTATTATTCCATCATCTATCATACAGCATTATTGTATTATTCCATTATCTATCATACAGCATTATTGTGTTATTCCATCATCTATCATACTGTATTATTGTATTATTACATCATCTATCATACAGTATTATTGTATTATTCCATTATCTATCATACAGCATTCTTGTATTATTCCATCATCTATCATACAGCATTATTGTATTATTCCATCATCTATCATACAACATTATTGTATTATTCCATCATCAATCATACAGCATTATCGTATTATTCCATCATCAATCATACAGCATTATCGTATTATTCCATCATCTATCATACAGCATTATTGTGTTATTACATCATCTATCATACAGTATTATTGTATTATTCCATCATCTGTCATACAGCATTATTGTGTTATTGCATCATCATCATACAGCATTATTGTATTATTCCATCATCTATCATACAGCATTATTGTGTTATTCCATCATCTATCATACAGCATTATTGTATTATTCCATCATCTATCATACAACATTATTGTGTTATTGCATCATCATCATACAGCATTATCGTATTATTCCATCATTAATCATACAACATTATTGTATTATTCCATCATCTATCATACAGCATTATCGTATTATTCCATCATTAATCATACAACATTATTGTATTATTCCATCATCTATCATACAGCATTATCGTATTATTCCATCATTAATCATACAGCATTATTGTATTATTCCATCATCTACCATACAACATTATTGTATTATTCCATCATCAATCATACAACATTATTGTGTTATTCCATCATCTATCATACAGCATTATCGTATTAACATGCTTTGTTGTTTGTGGGTAGAACATAATGGCTGATCCTAAGAGGATTGGTCAATCATTCTCACAGATATTACAATATCAATGTAAACTAATTGACTATATTATTGATTGTTATATAGGGTGAAGATAATGAAGAGAAAGAAGAAAATGATGATGAAGATGATGGTTGGATGGTACCACATGGATATTTATCTGAAGATGAATGTGCTGAAGATGATAAGGAGGTAAATTAAAAATGAAAAGAGTTTTACTTCCTATTTTTCTGCACCTTAGGACAGTTTACCAACTGTCAAGGGATCTTTAAGATACACAGCTGGTAGCACATAGGGCCTTGTTCCCATCCGAACGAGGCTTTTTCCAAGTCTGCCCTTGGGGCCATCACTGACAGGGGGAAACCAGGTTAACTATAAGCAAATGTTTTGACATGTTATTCGTTTGATAGATGTCAAAGTGGGGATCAAACTTTAAAATAAATTACCTTTTATAGATAACACCTGAAATACTAAAAGATAGACAGAAAGCTAAAGCAGATCAATGGGAAGCTGAATTAAAGAGGCAGTGCCAACCTGTTAAAACTGTGTGTATTGGTTGTTATTGGACTGAAGAAGAAAATGATATTAGTGAACAAGATATGAATATCTTAAAATCATATGCTGTAAGTTGAATCTTTTACAAAGATGATTTTAAGGTGGAGCTCAATTGGAAACTTCTGAACTGGGCGGTCTGTTCCACTTCTGCCCTTAGTCCAACATTGAAAGCAAATTTTCCCATCCTTTTTTTTCTCTGCCATTTTGAAATCTGTCTTGCTATTTTTTCAGCAAAAAAGCGTTATGAAATCTGTTCCAATTTGTTTTATTGAACATTATGTTGATTCTATAAATTTTGAATGAGCAGATCAGAATCTGTACCGGTTACGTCTGTTCCAATTCTGCCCCTGATGAAAGCAAATTTTCCTTCTCTCCAATTTTGAAATCTGGCTTACTATTTCAGCACACGTGGAAAGCGCTATGAAATCTGTTCCAATTTGTTTTATTGAACATTCTGTTGATTCCATAAATCCTGAATGTCCAGAACTCACTCGCTTGTTTAATCCAAATAAAAGACTGAAAATGGAATGATGCTTTCAGTGTCTCAATAGACATAAGTGCCTTGTTAAAAGCTATGTTAATCACTTAAGATTATATTTATATCATTGCAGGTTGAATGTATATCAAGTTTACCTATTAGTACTATATTATCAGTTGATAGTTCCAGTATATCTGATACACCTAGTCGAGATAAGTGTCAAACACCAACCAATAATAAAATAAAGGCTAAACCAGTACCTGAAGAAGGTAAATCTATTATTTCAGATATACCAAATTTATTAGATCTGTCTGGAAGGGATGCAAAATTTACAAAACTCAAAAGTAGAGTGGCACCAGGTTTTCTGGAAGTGTAAACATGCTCTGCCTTATTAATGACTCCCCCTACAATACTTAATGGAACTGAATAATTTCCTTTCCTCAATATTCCAATTGGCCTATCTATTAATGGGTACAGATAATCTGGTAAAGATCATTACCAAGAAGTTTGATCATGGACAAGCTGGTAGAAAGACTCCAGATAAACATAAGTCATTATCCTTGTAAGAATTTGGTTTCTTTGTTTCTCAAATATTTTTTGCACTTCTTTTCAGCCATGCCTGATCTAATTAAATTATTACATGGAAATACTTTGGGTATTAAAAAACTCATGCATGAATTTCGAGTTTATTGGAAACAAACTACTCAATCTAAAAGTGCTGAAGAAACAGGTGAATCATCACAGGTTGTACCAATGGAGGATGGTGAATCACCAAAAGTTGTTTTAAATGAATCTGTGAAAGAAGAAAGTACTCCTGCCAAAGAAGATTCATTTAGTATCAGTAAGAGACAATTAGAAAAGAAAATCATGTCCATAGCTGTTCGTGAAAAGAGAAACTGTTACAAGAAAGTGTGTTGGCATGTGAATGAAGACGTATTGAAGCAATATGAACAGGAAGATTTAACGTACCCTAACACTTGGCAATACATCACTAGGAAAAATGAGGAACCTGTCAATCCTGACATTTCCCAGTCTAAAATTGAAGATGATGCCAATACTTCTATCTGTGATGAAAATCAAACTCCTAAATCATTACCCAAAGATCAACGATCCATCATGGATTTTGCCAAGAAAGTGGACCACCCACCAGAAATTCTACCATTGGAAAAACCAGTCGAAATGCCAGTTAGTGCCAAGCCTAAAGAAGTGAAGAGAATCAAACCTACTGTTTTATCATTATTAAATAACGCGTCTAAAAAAAGTTCCGTTGAAACTAATAATGCTAAATGCGAGAAGAAAGCCGTGGTTTTGATCCCGCAGGACAATAACATTACAAATGAGCAGAAGGCAGACATTTTACCCCCTACGGCCAATAATAGTATAGCTCCTACTGTGACAAAACAAATAGAACCAATGGATTATAATGAAGACAGTAATGGTTGTATTTTATTAGATTAGTCTGCTAGTTATTTTAATTGTCTTGACCAGTATCATTTTAATATATCTGTTGTATTGTTTATCTCATGTCGTATTGACTATCTCATGTCGTATTGACTATCTCATGTCGTATTGACTATCTCTCTGCATTGAATCAATATGTCTCCTTAAAGGGACAGGTTGGCCATCAGATTGACCAATTGTACTTTAGTTTCAGAAACGATAATTTTTTAGCTCAGGTAATCTGTAATAGTGTTGACAGCTCACCAGGGAAATTTTGTACATTTCTAGTACTTCTGAAGATTACTTACATATATTAAAGAACCAAATCAACCCCCTAAAATGGCATCCCTAAAATGGCATCCCTAAAATGGCATACCTGTCCATTTAAAGGGATTGTTAAGAGTATTCTTGCTCTTTTCTGTGTATCAGGGCCATTTATAGCTTCTATTTGCATCATTCCAATTTTCCATCAGATGTCTGTGGTTCTTGTAATTATAGAAACGCTTAATACAGTATGATGTAATTTTCGCAAAAGCTGCCGATTATATCTAAGGACCTTAGTTATGTCATGAAACACTTAGTTTTAGTAGAATTGTAGGTGTTTATTTAAAATGGGAAGGGTGTTAATTAATGCTGTCAGTATCCCTGATAAACTTAAAGTTTACAAAAAACCTCTTTACAATCCTTTTAATTATTCCCTCTTTTTGAAAAAAATAAATGAATTATCATGTATTCTTAATCATATCATAATGTTCTTATTGCATATATTTATGAGTTTTAACCAATTATAAATGTCCATGTATGGATAAACAAAAAGAGACTTCTTGATCGGTCACTCAATGGAATTCTGCTGGTAATACTCTTCTAATTTGGCTAATGATGAATTAATGGACATGTGAGACAAGTCATTAGAAACACCTCTACTTTCTATTCATATTAGTATTAGCATTTTCATAAATGAAAATAAGGGAACCCATCTTTAAGGAAGTGAATAATTATTTTGTAATATATTTTGGATCAGAATTTTATATATTTATTTGTAAGAAGCAAGACAATAATGTATAATGTTAAAACTGTCAGTATTTAAAGTGCCAAATATTATGACCTTTTAATGACACTGGTTTTTGTTTCAGAACTTAAATCTTATCTCTTTGTAAAGCATGCTTCTACTCCTCTTGATGCCAGTATATTTTACAGGTCATCCTTGTAGGATTTAAACATTAACACAGATAGTCCACTTTATTTTAGGTATTTTAAGTAGTAATGAACACAATATCAGTCTGGTTTGTATAGTAGTTACATTAACTATTTACTCTACCTTAAAATAAAGTGGACTGCTCCTTTTAAGCCAGTATATATATTTGTCTGAATGCATTAACTAATGTTTTAAGCTAATGTTGCTATGTTGTAGTAACCATTTTTCTCATTCTACAGTATGGAATAGTTATGCAGGTTAATTCAGTCCCCCACCACTTAAATAGACAAACAGTTATTCAGACACCCACACTTTAATAGACAATGAGTAATTAAGCCCCTGACAACTTTAACAGACAGCAAGTAATAGACAGTGAGTAATTCAATCACTCATTCTTTAATGGACAGTAATTCAGGCACTAACCATTGCTGAGACGGTGAGTAATCCAGACACTCACTTTAATAGACAGTGAGTAATTCAGGCCCTCGTGACTGTAATAGACAGTGAGAAATGCAGACACTCATGTGAGTAATGCAGACACTCACGTTAATGACAATGAGTAATTAAGGCCCTTGCGACTGTAATAGACAGTGAGTAATGCAGACACTCACTTTAATAGACAATGAGTAATTCAGGCCCTCGTGACTGTAATAGACAGTGAGAAATGCAGACACTCATGTGAGTAATGCAGACACTCACGTTAATGACAATGAGTAATTAAGGCCCTTGCGACTGTAATAGACAGTGAGTAATGCAGACACTCACTTTAATAGACAATGAGTAATTAAGGCCCTCGTGACTGTAATAGACAGTGAGAAATGCAGACACTCACGTTAATGACAATGAGTAATTAAGGCCCTTGTGACTGTAATAGACAGTGAGTAATGCAGACTCATGTGAGTAATGCAGACATTCACTTTCATAGACAGTGAGTTATTCAGAGACTCGCTCTTTATCAGTGAGTAATTCAGACACCCACACTTTAATAGACAATGAGTAATTAAGCCCCTGACAACTTTAACAGACAGCAAGTAATAGACAGGCACTAACCATTGCTGAGACGGTGAGTAATCCAGACACTTACTTTAATACACAGTGAGTAATTAAGGCCCTCGCGACTGTAATAGACAGTGGGTAATGCAGACTCATGTGAGTAATGCAGACATTCACTTTAATAGACAGTGAGTTATTCAGAGACTCGCTCTTTATCAGTGAGTAATTCAGACACCCACACTTTAATAGACAATGAGTAATTAAGCCCCTGACAACTTTAACAGACAGAAAGTAATAGACAGGCACTAACCATTGCTGAGACGGTGAGTAATCCAGACACTCACTTTAATACACAGTGAGTAATTAAGGCCCTCACGACTGTAATAGACAGTGAGTAATGCAGACACTCATGTGTAATCCAGACACTCACTTAAATACACAGTGAGTAATTAAGGCCCTCATGACTGGAATAGACAGTGGGTAATGCAGACACCCACACGTCAATAGACATTGAGTAATTAAGACATTCATACTTAAGTTTCTTAAATATCTAATATATTTTCTATCTTTTACAAATGTTATATTTGACGTACTGTAATTTAATTTTTAAAGCTAATTAATGAATAATTGTTTGTAAATAATTGTTTATTGATGTTAATATTTAATAAACATTTTATATACTCTGTTGCTGCAATTGCTTGAGCAGCTGGTAGGGTTAAATTCATATTTCCCATAGCAATTTTTGGAGTTGAAATCTCGTGTATGCCTGGCTTATGAGCAGAAGGGTACACATCAGTTATCAGCTGTTTTCATTTGCCTGTTTTCTGCATCAGACTGTAAAAGGGGTCAAAAAAGTACCATAAGACCCTTAGTGTGCTCTTAATCATGATGGTTGTCTCTGAAATCAACAATCCCTATAATGGCATTGTTCACAGATGATCAAACTAAAAGTCTGTACTTTCTCAGTCGACTTTATTTCTTTTACTGAAAGTATCAGCAAACTTGAAAGCTTTAAAATGTCCAACTTTATTGCCATCTTTATCATAATGTAAACACCGAAGACAACCATCACATAAATAACATGGTTCTGTTGGTGTTAGGTTACTCTCTTCTACTTGCCATCTGCAATGAAAATATAAAATCGTGTAAATTTTGTGCATAGCCTATAGCACACTGGGTCTCGGTTTGTCGTCCCATATGAAAGACTAGACACTTTCCCATGTCAACCCCTCCTACCTGCATCATCTGGGAAATTAAATTAAATGAATAGATTTTTACATCCTAATTTTCTACACCAGGACAGCAACATTAGCCTGCGCTTTTTTGATTTCTGACTGTCAATGGATCTTTAACGTGCACAACCTGTAGAACACGGGGCCTCGGTTTATGGGCTTGATGGTTAGTGAACTACTGTACATGGCATGTCATTTTCATTTTCTATATATGGCAACGTGTTGAGAAAAGACTTTCAAATGTAGATAATTCTGGACACAAATTGATTTAAAGGCTCAATTGGACAGTGAGCATGAATACTATTACTGATTGGCTAAGCTAAAAAAATTCTGTTTCTGAGATAAAGGTACACTGGTCAAATGGTAAACCCTGTCCCTTTATAATGATATAAAGGAGAAAAATTGAAATAAACCTACTTAGCTGTATAAGTCATACATGATTTACATAATACTCTTCTTTTTACTTTTTGTGATAAAACAAAAGGATAATCATCAATATTTCTACTGTCATCAGAGTTCAACATTCTGTAAAACAGAAATTTAAAGCATTCAAGTATTACTCACTTGCAGTCAATGTTTTATTGAACTAAGCATTTGATTGGTTAATACTTAAATGACCTTGAACATGTGTTGTGTAACAATTTTGTCAGATTATTGATAGAAAGTGTTATTACCCTCAGAAAAAGCACAAAACAAAAATCTACATTAAGTACATTTTTACCATATTATAGATAGACAAGTTTGAAGAAAATGCTTCTGGAAAAGAGGTGTGCTCTTACCTTACATCACTAAAATTAAAGGTGTGTTCACAATTTCCTTGATGCATATATAAATAGGGTTCTCCTAATTTTATAGATAAATCTATAAATCTCACATTTTCCATAGAAGCTGTTTTATAATCTATTGTAGATTGACAGGAATTTTTCATCCAATCTATGATAGATCTAGAATGAAAATTGATCATTGAAAAACAGCAATTACAAAATAACAACAAGCCAAAATATTTAGAGATTTCTTCTGTTTTAGTTACCAAGGGAGAAATCACATGAAAATACATGTATGTTGCTTTAGAGTCGCAAAAAAGACATGAAATGATTACGTAAGGTACGGGTTGGACCACAGTGCAGGCATGATACGCTTCTACCATTTGCTACAGTATCGATAATGAAATTTGGCATCATCCTTATAAGGCTCTAATATGATTTCCTTTACCTGCTATAGTCTCTGTTATCAGCAAACCTTGTATCATTATAAAATGTTCCTTCTATGTATAAAAATCCAGACTTCATTGTTTCCTTAAAACAAAAATGATTCTTGTGTAATTGGATATTTCGATACTGTAATATTGACCTCTTTGAAATGAGAAGTTTCCAAATGTAAAATTCAAAATGGCCGCTATATCGCAAAAAAAACATTTTCAAATATTAATTATGAAAAAGCCTCTAACATATTGACAACAAAATTACAGGCCACGTATTCTCGAAACGATCTTAGCGCTAGGATATCCTAGGTTCTTATCTTGTAACATTGATTCTAGGACATCCTAGCGCTAAGATCGTTTTGAGAATACGTGGCCAGAACTCTTGCTCAATGACACATGAAAATTCACTAATGACTGTACATGAATACGCCTTGCCTTAAGTCTGCATTATCTAAAATAAATAATGCACAAACTTACCTTACAAGGAATAGCATGTTCTGCCATTTCTAAATTTTCACTGAAATCTCCACCAATAGCTAGATCATTGACACATTCTATAGAATCTCGAAATTCTGATAAAAACATATCACCTCTTACTAATACACATTGGTCTCTAGACAACTACAATTAAAACAAAGAGATCAAATTTACTGTTCATGGTCAGTCAGATAATCTAATTTAAATAGTAACCATGACAACCAACTCTTGTGCTCTGGTGTAGAAGACGGGCAATGTCATGTAGTGTGCATTGATGGTAATTTTGCCAGGACAGCTGAATTAGCCTACTCTGTTTCTGAACAACCTGAGACACTTTTTCCATGTAAACTCCTCTGACCTGCATCACTGATGGGGAAACAGCCTAGGAAATTTGGAGGTATGGAAACCTAGCTTTCCAGTCAGTGAGCAAAAGTTGAACTCAATGAGCCAGTGCAGCTTCATATTTTCCATGAACTCCACTGTGAGAATATTGTACAAAGAAAGCAACAGGAAATGATTAACTTACAAATGTTTTTTTCTTAACTGATGGTCTATGTATATCAACAGTAAGTAATATATTAGGTGTATTAACTTTTTTATCTTTTTCTATATCATCTTTACACGGCGGAATCTGTAAGAACAATTTGTAGTTATCCTCCAAAAGGCCACATTTTCATATTCCTATGAAGGTATCATTATAATTAGTGCTGACAGGATATGTAAGTGAATCGATGTATCGCGATACGTCATGTCACGATACACGTATCATATTGTGACATTATTTATCGATAATTGACCATACCTTTCATTCAAAAAAAAAAAATTGGTTGATGACATACAATTTTTTTCACTGAAGTTGTTAGAAACATTTTATAAGACAGTGGACGCATACTATATATTGCCAATTTGAAAAATTAACTAATTACAATATGAATAAAAAAACTGCAGAAATACCTGTATTGTATCATTGACATTATATTTCATATGTTTTAATACAAAACTTTTATATAGCTGATTTTCTTTTCTTTTTAATAATTCTTTCTTGTGATATCTGAAATAGACACAATCAATTTTATAATCTACCAAACAAATTGCAGTATAAGTTAAACATAACACAATTGGTTAAAGAGCTATCATCAAGTACCTGCAATTGAAAAGGGTAACTCCAAGACATCTTATTCATATATATCATGATGTGGTGCCCCTAACCTTTGCCACTATTAAGAGATTGACTGCAGAATAAAAGGCTTGACAATAGCCAGTGGACATCTCCCATGATAGTGTTAAGCACATTAATACCACAGGGTTCAGATTGATAAAACTTCACCTCTTTCCTAGTAATGATAACGCCATTTCTGCAGTGAATGGCCATTTTATGTTGGCTTCATTGATTATACAGGTTAAGCAGAATTACTGGCCAAAGCATGTTTAAAAATGGAAGGGCACTATGCAGAAAAATATATGATAACCATTGACTAAGTACAGATAATTCACAGTAAGTGTTGGAACCTTTAAGCTAGCAATCCTAATAAAGATTTCACAGTGTAACAGTCTAAACTCAGTTATAAAGGTCACTAAATATGCTGCCTATACATACTGTAATGTTTTGAGTTCTGTATTTGGTATTGTTTCATAATATAACTTTTTATCTTCTGCTTCATCACCAGACAGTAGTGTTTTCAAACTGAAATTATGGAAATAACAGAAGGATATTGGAACATTGTCCATTGGCTCTGACCTTTGCACAGTACCGGATTCAGTGTACATACAAGGATCTTCAGCCTATCAGGTACCTTCAGGTAACTAACAGACTGATAGGTAGTTACTAAATTAAATTGGTAGAGATTTCATTGAATGTACGTTTTATTTTTCAACAGACAGACCTTAAGCCTATGTAATTGAAATACTATTGTTCAAATGAGCACCACTCTGATTCAAAAACGGTGTCTTTATTTGGATTGAGTAGTCCATTTTTTTTTTAAACTACCATACACGAAAACACTCCCCTCACCACTTCACTCTGTTATTCAGTAGGCATTAAGTCATAAACAGTAGCAATTTCTAAAATTATATACCAACTGTTATTTGTACCTGCAAACATTGGCCAAATCATAAACTGTTTGCGATGGAAGTGAGGTATTTCGTGCAATCTCATCAAGATCAACATCTTTCTTCTGTAGATATTCAAAATCTATCGATTCACACCATTTATCTTGAAATTCCTTCAAATTAATTAAGGCTGAAGATTCTTGATCAGACTGCTCATTGACTGCCATCGTCTGCTTAGCAGAAATAGTGCTTTATGAATCTTCTCGAGACAATATTTCTTCTTGGTTCAATGTGCCATCTTTGTTTATAATCGTTGCTACGTCGTCGTATATAGCGAACTGGCTCTGAAATAAAATAGACACGATTATCAAGACATATGCTCGTAAAGTATTTTTTAAGCTACAATGGTCAGGATAAGAAAGACTACAGAGACGCGGTAAATTAATGTACAAGCATAGAGCACCTGCGGGAATCTTTAATTATTTAAATCCACAGCAAACGCCTGCCTTTACCAAGTGAGTATGATAAATACCAAGAGAATTATTTTGAATATAGAGCTGTTTGATGCAACGAAGTTTGAACAATGCATAAATGATTATTTTAGTTATGTCTTTTTTCAAAATGGGGAGAGGTTCGTTCCATCTGCTACAAGACCATGCGTCTAATTGAATTGAATAGGTTCTATTTATGGAGATTTATTCATTTATTTATCCAATGTGAAATTGTAATTTTTCTAAGTCACTAATGTTAAACTGACTTTCAACATACAGGGCCTATTGTATAACTGAATGCCAAGTATATAATAGATTGTCACTGTCTGTGTTCACTTGTATTTGCCTCTTGCAAGATAGCATTATTCCAAAAGTGTAATTTTGTATTTTTTAGGTTTAGACAAATTCACTGATATTTTATAAAGATGGTTCTTGGTGCATTAGTTGGTGCAGTTCTCTCCTGTGTAGTTGGAGCAATATGGTATCATCCAGTATTCCTTGGTAATCTATGGATGAAAGGTGCTCATCCTGGAAAATCTGCTAAACAAATTGGACAAGGATCAGCTCATGCCATGTACATCTCAATTCTCAGCAGTATCTCACTGTCATTATTACTGCATTTCATTATAGTGTAAGTATATAATTGTTTATCATTAATTTAGCATTTGCTATTATGCTACATGGAATTTTTGCAATAACATTGGAGTATGGTTAACTTTATACTTTATTGCCAACATAGGGAAAACCAAACTAAGTCTGAAGGTTCTTTATGCCTAGATTGATAACCCTCTCAATGTTGCAGAATTATCTCTGTTAATCAATGTAGTAATTAAAAATGAATTGAAAAACATTGAAGTGATTTGAAATTCGAGAACAAAAATTAAAAAAGGTGAGCCACCTCAGTCTTTCCAAAATGGAGTGGTAACCAATCCAGGCCATGTATTCTCGAAACAATCTTAGCTCTAGGATATCCTAGAAATAGTGTTAGATGTTAAACCACGGGACACCCTAGAGCCAAGATCGTTTTGAGAATACACACCCTGTATTATGACATTGTTAATTTTAAAATGGATATCCTGTTTTTCAGCAATACGTTGAATGTTCAATCATTAGCAGAAGCAGCATCAATTGGTGTTGGTCTTGCCTGTCTACTGGTATTGGCAGATGTTTCACATTGCGCCTTTGGTAAAAGATGTTTTGTAGCATTTCTCATAGATCATGCCTATGATGCTGTAGTTCTTGCCTTGACAGCAGTTGGCATCTTCTACTTCAACAAACATGGTATTGATATTCCTCCAGTTGCAGAATTAAAAGACACCGTCCTCAAGAAGACAGGTCTTTAATTCATGTTTTTTACTTGGAATCAGTTGATGCCTTTTAATACCTCTCAGTGTTTATTCTATTTCATACCAATTATGATATCTGTAGGTTCATTAGTGTTTTTCATTTGTTATGTTAATTGATCTTTAATTTAATCATCATTGTCATTTTAATTTGCTTCTTGCCCATTCATCAACGAAATTCCATGGCTTGTGTTTGTGACTCAGCCGTGAATGCATTGGAGACATTGTTGTTGGCAAGGAGGTCAAATTTGATTGGATTCTTTTTCGAGATCGTGAATTACAAATTCCTGCCTGTGAGATGTTTCTTTTCATTGACTATAATACCTTCTCAATCTCTTAATCCAGTCAAATTTCACTTTCCAATTACATATATAATGGAGCCAATGCATCTCAGCTTAGTGCAATGATTGGCCTGCAGAATTTCAATAATATCTCATTTGAAGTAGCATAAACATTTTTCAGGATGGATTTAAAAAATCTTTTTGTTTTAGTTAATGATGTTTTGTTAATTTTTTTAGTGTTTTAGAATTCCAAAGTATTATTAGTTTTTATCTAAATAGATTTAGATGTAGAGATTAGTTATTATTAGTTCAATTAAGCATTTAGTTTATGCATATATGTTAGTACCGTAGATGTAAATTCTACTCTGAAACTATGTTTTACATTTTATCCACTACCATGAATTTTAACGTTTGACTATTAGCAGTTCAAATACTCCAAATTATACTTTTAACTACTTAAGGCATTATTAAGTGCTATACTCAAAATATTAAAGCCAATGTTTTTAAAGCCATGTAAAATAATGTTTCATTATATTGAATATATGTTAAGTTGTTACTTTTTATCTTAAGTAGTGCTATATCAAATCTTACATGGGTGCTTCCTTGAAATTTACCACATTTCAGTCAATTTGTCTGCAAAACTTGTATGCTTTTTTTCCAACAGCAATTTTTCCCGTGCTATTAAAATTTTTGGATAAAAATTTAGACTGTTATTTTAAAATAAATTTTAGTGACTTTTAGATAACTTTTTGTATTCTTTTTATATCATTCAATAAAGAAAGTTTTATATTATTTATTTTGTCTTGTCAAAACATCACCTTTGAACATTCCATGATACGTGTATCATATCTAGTGGTGATGTATTGATATCAATGAATTTATTTTATCCCTATAGATGTGTGTATCATATCATAACCCTTGTATTGAAAAATACACAAGGCCAAAGCCAGACAAAAGTGATTAAATTATCAGGGGCTTAACAAAATGTATAGTAAGAGCAATCTATTTACCGGTAATTATTTAATCAGTATTACAATTGGAAGTGGAGACTCTAAAACTACCTTGAGATATTGTGACCTGTTGGTAGATTTAATTATAATTTGAATAACCCCCGAATGTCATTAAATAACATCTGGGCCCATTATCAAAATAAAAACCACTGATCATTGCATTTACATGTACAATCACACATCAAGCAATTGTTCAGATGTGGAGAAACTTTTCTTGTTGACTCTTACCTATCCAATGATATCTATTTATCCTAATATAGCCAAAATCCTTGATAGTACTTGCTAGGTTAGAGTTATGAAGTCCCCCACTAAAGTAATTCACAATGCAGCATGCCAACTTTGAAAACTTGCATTCTACATTTTTAAAGCAGTTCAGAAAAAACTGAATTAAAAATATTTTAATCAAAATCATAATACTTAAAGAATAAGTTAGGGGTATATTCATATCAACAGTTGATGGACAACTGAGTACAAATCAGACTTCTAATTCATAACAAAACTACAAAAATAACAAATTGTCTGAAGTAACCAGAAGTTTTTTACACCTTAAATGCAGACTAATTACAATTAGACCTAACTTTTGTTCTTATGTTATTAGTTTGTAGTTTCGAATGTTTTATTAGTTATTAGCTTTGTACGTAACCACTACAGTAAGGTCTAACACTGTCCTTCTTGACTTTTCAATCTGTTAACCTTAGCTTGACCTCAGTTTTAACCAATCACGTGAGTGCCCTTTCCAGCAACGGAATAATGTGACACGAACAATCGGTGCAATCCGAGGCGTATAACACTATCAGACTTGATAAGCTAGTCTAATGTGCCTCGGGATGCACCTATTGTTCGCCACATGATTCATTAAGTCAGAGGTCAAGGAAAGGTTAACAGAATGAAAAGTCAAGGACAGTGTTAGACCTTACTGTAGTGGTTACGTACAAAACTAATAGCTAATAAAACATTCCAAACGAAACTAATAAAATACGAACGGAAGTTAATTAGACTGACTTAAACAACCTAGAATACCGCTATGCTCACTACTTAGACACTATCTAAATAATTATTATTAAAAAGTGATAATATAGCTGAAATCAAATTTTAAGCTGATAATCAGAAAAACATAATGTCTTCAAGTGTTTAATTACAACTCTCGGAACTATTGTCTTTTGGACTTCCAAACATAACTGGTTTGCGAAATCTGGGTTTTGATTGCTTTCTCTTCTGAGTTATATGTTCTAAAACTGCCTTTTCTATGTTATAAATCTTGTCTAAAAGACCACAATTTCCTTTCACAAACAACTTCAGTTTCTGTAATGAAGCTAAAGCATCAGCTTGAGTTACTTGTGGTAATGTAACACTCGACTGCTGCTGGGATTGACTAGAACTTGCCTCGTTCGATTGTAAAAGGTTCTTTTGATTTTGTATCTCATAACTAGTGTCTTCTGCTTCAGTTTTCACGTTACCATTAGCAACCATGGCTTCCTGTATCAACTGACTCTCCCAATCTTCAGTTTCGTAAGCATGGCAAGGTATTTGGGAATCAAATTGTAGGTAGATTTCAGTAAACATTGGCATAAATCTAAACGAAACACCGGTTTCTTCTACTAGCTCGATTAAATCTGTTGGATTATTATCTTCCAATTCATCTTCACTTGTTTCTGCTACAAAACCTACAGCTTCGAAACAACTAGCTACAGTTGTTTTCTGTACATTATTCCAACTCTGTTTGATCCAAAACACAGCATCCAAATCAGAAATATCTTCCAATATGGCTCTTGTGTCCTCATTTGATTCCTGTCTAGCTAACACAGCTTGGAGAAATCTCTTTCTATAGTGTGCCTTAAAGTTTGTAATAATACCTTGTTGTAAGGGTTGTAGAAAAGTTCCAGAATTATCTAAGTAATATTTAATACTGATGTTTTTAAGTACGACATTAGCTAAGTGACCAGGTATCATTTCCATAAATAATGCTATATGACGATCCTGCTCCTCTAAATGTTTATCCAGATCTCTTAACCAATTGGCAAAAATATTGGCAGTCATACACGAATTCTTCTGCTGAGACCATTGCACTGGTATATCTTTTGCATTACAGTTGTTCAAACTTTGTGGCAGCTGATCTTTTCCCACAATCAATGGCTTCAATTTCTCGCCTGAAGCACTACAACAAAATAATATGGTAAACTTGTTTTCAGTAAAGTCCATATTATGATGGCTTCCAAAACAAACAGTTCCATCAACATAACATCTATCAGGTAGCCCCTTATAGAAAAGGGCTGTTTCACCACAGGTAAAAATATTCTCTGGATCTAATCCCTGGATTTGATAGGGCAGCATCTTAGCCCAAGTGTTAAAAATACGTCCACCTGGATCAGCACAGTCACAACCTCCTGTCCTTAGTTGAATATTGTACTTCTTCTTCAGACCACTTAGCCAAACATTTGAAGGACTAAATGCAATACCCATTTTGGTGGCGAATTCTTTGGCTTTTTCTTGAATTAAAGCACCATTCAGTAACATATTCTTACTTTGTGCAATTCCTATCCATTTTAAAACCAATTTATTTAAGTCTTCAAGATATTCACCCTTTTTACAACGTCGGAAATTTTTACAGTTCAATGGAATCTCATTGTTTTCATACGCATCAAGATATTCTTTTTTACGTTTTAAGATGTTATTGACTGAACCCAAGGATATATTAAACTCTTGTGCCAAGTTTCTCTGGCTTTTACCCGTAGCTTCACTGACTTGTATCAAACGCAACTTTTCACTCAATGGCAAGTCTGTTCTTGGTTTAGGTTTTGGCAGGCTGATGTAAGAAGAACAACCACCAGCCCCACAGGGTACACAAGACGATCCACTAGGACCACATGCTGATCTACTGGGGCCACAGGATGTTCCACAAGAAGCACTAGGTGCACAACCTGATCCACTGGATGAAGAAGCAACACCAGCAGTATCACTAGAGGTAGCAGTAACTGTTGATATGGAGGAATCAGTTATATTAAACACCATATAATTTTCTGTAGTTGGAGACTTCATTTTGAAATCTTTATTACATATTGGAGTACTGGCTTTAACTCTGATACTGGAGCAGGGTGGTTCCTTTTCCTCACCAGACATCGTACCACTGTTATCTATCAACAGAACCTGACGAAAACTATACCATCTGAAATGACGAAAAAAAGTTGTTTCAAAAGCTGCTGAATGTCAAAATTATGACTGGTTATGGCTAACAATAGAATAGGAATGATAAAAAATGTTTATATGTTTTGGGTCAATTTCGGCTGAATTAATCATAGGTCTCAAATCAATGAACTCCAGTTTAGATTTCAGTACCATTGGCCTTCTAATGTCAATGGCACTATCTAAATTTAGCACTTGTGGCATCTAGCTCTTTCACCTAATAAAATCATCTGTCTGTCAACAACTTTTGGGAAGCAACTATGGAAATAAATAGAAACTATTCTAAGAATAAGTAGCCTACTTTGCTTTCGGCTGTATTAATGACTTCATGAAGTTCATGCAATACATGCATCATCATTATCTTTAGACTTTACTTTTGACTGACATATCAGTTAACCTGATTTGATAAAACACATTTACTTATACGTTTACCTTTCACATTTAATTACGTCATTGTAATCCTATCTTGTCGCATCCCACTCCTCTGAAACTTAAGTAAGTCACCCGATTTACAAATTTTCATTTCATTATTCAATTTATTCTCCATAATATAACCAGCTCGATTATCCAGACTATTCTAATATAAGTTGTTTTATTGATAAACTGGATGAAAAAGGCTTATAGTACAGACGTCTTTTTACCACCGACAAAGTGACCTTTTGCCGACAAGCGAAATTTAATAAACAGTTTAAAAAGGCGAACTGACAAGACATTTCGGGATGAAGACTCCGTTATTATTTTTTCGAGTCGGGTTTCAATCATAAGTCAAATCTTATTGATAATTTAATGCTCAAAATAAGTAAGAACGCAACCGTCACCTCGTCATATCGCCACGTCCGATTTGGCAATTGATATCACTGGAGTGATACACGGTTTGATCACATTATAACTGTACTTTGGACTTCGGACTTTGGTCTTTGTCTGATGAAAATAGGACGGTATTTATTAATCATCATAAGATAGCGGAAGGTATAAAAGTTTCGAAAACCCACGCAGTGTGCATATTTGATAATTTATCTACGATATTAGCAGGTAAGAAATTTTTAATTCTCTCTAAAAATTAGCAATCTATAACAAAGAAGAACAATGTATGATTAGGTTATAATATTGAGAGATTATATTGACTGAATGGATACTATTTATAACAATTATGTAATCTTTTAAGCCTGTATTGGCGTACCATAAGCTTTGATTTTAAAACAATCCTCTTTTTCAAGGAATTTATTGTTTCTGTTGTAATAGAGGAAAAAATATCATATGAATATTACAAATTTGAGCACTTTTTATTTTAACTGAAATTTAAATGTAAACTATGTAAATTGATAATTTGGGCATACAGCTTGAATTTTTACGTTCTACATAATATAGATTTGATCAGATTAGTTAATGTATCGACAAAGTCAAGCAGCTGAAAACGCAAGAATGGCTGAAAAGATGGAAAACGAGCAATTTATTCAAAGATTGGGAAATTTGCCTATGGTCAGTTCAGCATGGAATCTTGGTTGTGATGTCTACCAGAAGACAAAAGCTAGCAATTCACTGATCAAAAAATCTTTTGATATGGCAGAGGGAAGTGTTAAAACTGTGGCTAATACTTCCTTACCTTTGATCGCTAAAGTTCAGCCTCAAAGTAAGTTTGATTTTTTTGGATCGCTTAATTTTGTATTCAATATACATTACTTACTTAAAATTAACTAGATGTTTCTTTTTCTACTATATCAGACATTATTAGCTTCATGGACTGTCCGAAAGGGATGTTGAGTTGACAAACCCAGTTGCAGGGTGATGAGTGGTTTTTGAAGCATATTAGCACAAACATGAATATAACTGAATATAACTGAATTGAGCTATGTTAGATGTTCTATCCAATATTTAAACAATTCCTGGGTGTGACTTTTATGGTTTTATCATTCCTTTATTGTAACCTATCTATATTTTATTAATTCTTCAGTTGATTATGTAAATCAAGTTGCTGTACAACAATTGGTCAAGTTAGAGGAGAAATACCCTGTTATAACTAAATCTCCTAATCAGGTAGGAAACCATTATAATTTCAAAAATCACAACAAAAATTTTGGCTTTATAATTTTCACATAGGTCTGTAATTTTAATGCATGGTGTTCCATATTATTTTACCACTGAAATAGGGAATTTCTACCTCATAAATGGACCAGTTTTTAATGTTTCGGATTACTCATACTTGAAGCTCATAATGTTTAAACAAGGCCTTCATAGGTTTATAATTTTTATGATTTGAAAATTTCTTTGAGGGAAATGTTGAAAAAACCAATGAAATGAATTTAATATACAGGAATGTGTCTTATTTTTGTAGGTCTACAATGAAGGTAAAGAAGCCTGTAAGGGAGCTTGTCACACTGTTGTACAACCAGCAGTTAATGGTTATAATTCTGTCGTTACCATGGGAACAGAGCAGGTAGATATACAGTAAAAGATTGTTTACTATTTTTATTAAGTGGTCATAAGTTGAAGAGGTCAGGGCACACTGAGTTGTTTGTTTACTTTTTATCACATTTATAATTCATACAGTGGTCAAGAAATAATAGTGGTCAAAAATTCATGGTCATGGTTAAATGACTCCTCTTTAAATTTCAACATTTTTGTGTGACAAAAAGTCTGTTGTGCATTTGCTTTGCCAGAAAAATGAAAATAAGGGAACCCATCTTTAATAAATCAAAAATTAAATTAATGACAGTGACTCTTAATATTGTTGATAAATCAAGGTATCTCAATTGATTTTGATCAATATCTTTCCCTGATATAGATAACCAGAGTGAAAAATGTTGGTCAGAACATACTTGATAAAACATTAGAAACTTCATATGGTAAATATGTCGCTGATAAAGTAGATGATGTTTTAACTTATTCTGAAAATTATGTTGATAAATATCTATGTGAATCTGGTGAGTTTGATTTTCATATATTTTTTTTCATTTACACAGGTCATTATTTTCTGCCAGACTCCAAGTCCTAATATTTGAATTGCAAGCCCATAGAGCTCAATTATAGCTATCTTTATCCATATCACTTTGACTTGTTACCAATTTGAGCATATAGATAACAAGTTTTGGTTATATTTCTTAGTATTATGGTGGCAAAATAGATCCCTTTTTTTGGGACCAACTGATCTAGTGACAAAAAAAAAACATCACAAAGTTGCAAACATTTCTACCTTAAGAAACTAACGCTAATTATGTTTTGACAGTTTTGAAGACCAAAATCAAAGTAGCAGCCATGTTTCGATCCCATTAGCTGACACTAGTATCAAATTAATGCAATCTGCCACGGAAATTCTTTATCGTAACAAGGAATACTTAAGTATTATCTGACTAATTTCAGATGAAACATGTAAAATGGAGGTTGACATGGTAACAAAGAATCCTATCACCAGAGTTGGGGTCCTGAGTCATAAAGTTCGACAGAGAATGTATAAAAAAGCTATGACTGACATTACTCAAGTCAAAATACGTAGTCAAGAGGCCATTGATAAACTCAAATTTAATGTTGATTTGGTAAGTAAATTTCTTTTTTTCTGTTGATGAAAGAGGGTTTGAGCAGAACATGAACTGGAAAAAAAGAAGGATAAATACAGTAATATGACTGGTTAAAATCAATTACAGTGATTGGCCAATCAGATAAACTGGAACAATCCAATGAAAACAATCCAATGTTCAATTCTTATCCAGCAGGTCCTGGGACAGCTGCTGAAAATGAGGTTAACTCTTTAATATCAGGACTGAAGAGTATGAGCCACTTATGAGCTTTTCACCTTAGTTTTATTTTTCAAAGTGATTGTATTTCATTTGTAGATTGAGTATGCTAGATCTAATATTGATGGTGCTAAAAGTCACATGAATGAAACCTGGTCTAAATTAACAATGGCAGAAGATATCCCAGAACCTAAGGTGAGCTTAAATAATACATGTATGTCCATTCAACTGAGTTTAGTGCATATCAGGTTCATCAAAGAATCATCGAACCTAGAATACTATCAGTTTATGCCAATTACAAGTTTAAAAATATCTGAAGCAGATCTGAAGTCATATTACATTAACCCTTTGAACACTTGAGTGTCACTTGGTAAAGACTGCTGGTAGGGGAAGTTTATGTAATCATTTGGGCAGGTTGCCAGCCAATAGTGTAGTGTAGAGTTTGTAACTGTTTTCCTTTTTGACAACTCACCTCTGCAGTGTTTACATAGCCACTGTCAAGGGCATACAAGGACTTAAGTATGGTAATGGGAAAATGTCTTTCATGGAGCCATTATTTCTGATTTTGCCAATTTTTTCACATTTTTTAGCACTTCTGCACGTGCTATATATCTGGTTGTTTTAGCACATACCCATTAGTATTCTTTATTTTTTAGACTCTTGAAGACAAAAGTATTAATGTAACAAGAAATCTTGCTCATCAAGTTCGAAACAGTTTCACTACTCTCAAGTCTTACTCTGATAATGGCTCTGATTATATCTCTCAACAACTGAAAATGGCTAAAACATATGCTGATGATATCTACATTTCTTTTACCAAGGTAGGCAATATAAATTTACTTTGACTGATTGACAAAAAACTCCATTTTATACTCCTGATTTTCAAACTGTTCATAATGTGGAACATGCCAGCCTTTAGCATGTAAAGCTTCAGTTCTTTAGCCCATTTAAGGTGCGGGAACACGAGTGGTCTTGGTTGGAGATTTTTGTCTCCAAATCGAATCTTAAGTAATTAACTTGCGTGTGCCTGTGTTTCCATGATATGATTATCGTGTTGCTGAGAGGATTAATAATATCAAACAAGTTTGAAAATTGTCTCAGATAGTTTTATCGTCTACAAGACAGACGGTCATCATCTTATCAGATTCCTTTTCCTTTCAATTGCATGCTCTGCACATGATTATCAACAAGGTGGAAAATCTGAGTGGAGATTTTGTTTCCTCGTGTGCCTGTGCCAGTTGTTGAAACTCAAGACTCTAATCGGCGACAAAAGTTGCTAATTTCTTTTTCACATTAGCTTCTCTGACCTGTTTGTTTCAACAAAGATGTCGTGTGCAAATGAAAATATGAATTATTTATGTTGTTATTAGTAAATGTACCTGTGGTTATTATTTTAATTATTGTAGGTTGACAGCTATGATGAAATACCAACATGGGTACTGAATCAAACTAAAGACAAATTAAGCTATCTGACTGAAATACTCTCTTTCACAGCTGATATTGTTTTCTTAACTCCTGTTAGATGGTTGGTAAGTACAAAATCAATCTTAAGATTGTGCACCAATTCATGTCTTAATTATTTGAAGAGATTGTAAAGAGGTTTGATCAGCCCGTCATTAGGGTGGGATCCGTGGTCTTTGTACAAATCAAAAAGATATATAGATTTTGATACGTTTTTGGCAACTCAAAATTGAGCTCTTTGGGCCTTTAAATTTTCAGATTTTCTGAAAACAAAATCTGAGCCCTAGTACAAAATCAGTCCTATATGCATTCTTATTTTCAATCAGACGTCTGTGGTTCCTGCAATTCCACTAAAACTGAATGTTAAATGATGTCACTAATGGTGAAATATTTTTTAATACTTAAGGGCCTTCGCGATTAGTGACATCATAAAAGACTTAGTTTTAGTGAAATTGCAGGAATTACAGACGTCTGATTGAAAATTGGAATGGTGCAAATGGAAGCTATCAGTGTCTCCAATACACAATTTATTTTTTAGAAAACCTCTCACAATACTTTTAATAATCCTAAAAATATTGTATATTCTCAATCTTAAAGGAGTAATTGCTTTACTAGATCATAGACCTGAATGTTAGCTTTGTTAATGTTACCAAAGATAGCACTCTTCAGAATTATAATCAAACATCCTATTCGCATACAATTAAATAGAAATAGAAATACTCTCCTCTCTAAAAGCCAAAAACCATAGCTGAACATTTATTGATTGAACATAAAGGAATAAATTAAAGGGAAACAACCTACGTATTAATTTCTCAAAGATCCTGTCCTTCAGCTGATTCTCATCCACATTCTTCTTTCTTGGATTATCCATACCCTTTTACAGATAGGTTAACTGGAATAATGAGGAAAAATTCAAAGAACCATACTATTACTTTCAGACCAAGATCAGCGCTAAAGACACAATTTGTTAGATGTTACCAAGCAAATATTGTCCAAAATCTGTCAACCTAATTTTATCATCTTGAATTATTTGTTTTTCAGACAATAGATTATGACATCAATGAAATTAATTTTGATGATGATGAAGTTGCTCAATGTAATGGAGTAGGATCTGCTAGCACAATGCAAGTAGCTTGCGAAGCTTAATTCAACTCAATAAATTTTAACATAGGGTTGGGCGAATGTTTATGTGTTGTTTTCTTTTCATTTAATATTAGCCCAAATGCTAAATCATTTGCATTACAATTGGATAATTATGCATTTCTGCGGCTTGAAACAGATAAGTTTACCCAAACTCTGTATATATTCCACATTTTTAAGCTTACTAATATGTACTATGCCAGGCTGGATAAAATATGACAACTAAACCCAAAACACCCCCTAATTTAACAAATAAGCTCTTTCAATCATACCTGTACATACATTTCTATGTCAATAATAGTATGCTTATGCATGTGTGGATGAGTTCAATTGAAAGTTGAGGGGTGTCAAGTAGATAGTATGCAGAAAATACCATTAACCAAAATTTGTTTGTTAAGTATTTCAAAAAAACAAAACAATTCATATTTGCAATGATATGAATTTTTTTCAAAAATTGTTGTGTTTTTGGTAATTAGGGTGTTTTTTTTATGTTTTTTCTTATGCATTCTATTTCGCTCACTTGTGAACTAAATGCTTCAGGCTTAGATTATATTAGGTTTCCAATAAAAATTTTAGCGTTTCAAATGTTTTAGTAGCCTTCATGTTATAGAATCACTCTTACGCAAATAGCTTTTTTGGCAATTTTTGCAACATGTAATTCTTCACAACATTTTAGATGTTCTTTTATGTATTCATGTTTTAAAATGTAGATCTATATTGTAAAATATTTGATCAAATAAAATATCTCTTAAATGTTTTTGATATCCAAATGAATGAAGACATTATAAGAAGAGGGATGGACTGGGCTCAGCTTTAGGGCTAATGTAAAATAAGTTATCTTTCCTCATAAGTCCTATTTTTAAATGAGTTCGGATAATCCAGGAAAGGTCATTGCCATAGCCAATAAGGTGTAGAACAGTGGGACATTAAACTCCAGCTCAATGTGCCCAATAAGGTGTAGAACAATGGGACATAAAACTCCAACCCCATGAACCAAAGAAGGTGTAGAACAGTGGGACATAAAACTCCAGTTCAATGTGTCCAATAAGGTGTAAAGCAGTGGGACATTAAACTCCAGTTCATTGTGCCCAATAAGGTGTAGAACAGTGAGACATAAAACTCCAGTTCAATGTGCCCAATAAGGTGTAGAACAGTGGGACATAAAACTCCAGTTCAATGTGTCCAATAAGGTGTAGAACAGTGGGACATAAAACTCCAGTTCAATGTGCCCAATAAGGTGTAGAACAGTGAGACATAAACTCCAGATCAATGTGCCCAATAAGGTGTAGAACAATGGGACATAAAACTCCAGTCCCATGTGCCCAATAAGGTGTAGAACAGTGGGACATAAAAGCTCTTATTTCATTGCCCTATTAGTGAGACAAGAAACTTTATTGAATTTCCTTTTTCTCAATAATGTACAGAACAGCAGTGTGACATTAAACGTTCTTTATTTTTAAATGCCTAATAAGGTGCAGAGCATTTGGACATAAAATGTTGTTGCTTTTCATTTGTCTAACATGGTACAGAACATGTTTATTTCAATAGACTAAAAAGCGCAAACAAACACAAACAGGTTAAACAAGCGCAAACAAACGGTAGGCCTAAACAACACAGTAAAAAAGGAATTAAATAAAAATACAGGATGTGAAAGCAACTATATCCACTATATGCCAAAAAAAAGGGGTAAGATTTTATATGTTATGAAATTGATGGTAAAGAAATGTCCAGATTATTTTTGTGTATCGATTGTCTGCAAAACGACCCACCATAGACACCTCTCAGACACATTCAATTACTAGCTGTCAAGATTAATCCATTAAATACAATTATTCCACATGCAGTGCATGAACTTGATCATTTATTACAATCCGTATACTAGAATATTGTTTGCGCGTTTTAGTCGGACTGGTATAAAAGCGCAGTACACATGTACGTTGAAAAGACGCTGCAAAAATGTAAGAATGCAATATGGTCGTATAACTAGCGGTATGAAATCGATTGTTTTCAAGTTTGTAATTTTTTAGGGACTTTTACTCTTGTTTCCTCACGTTTGGCCGCGACAGTACATTTCCAGTAGCTGTAAGATCGCAAATGGTAGCAGTCCGGTGTGACGAGGATATATGATATAATACTGTTATTGCACATAGTAAATTGTATGCAATAATAGATATCCAATCCAATCCCGGTATAAGTTATTTTTTAAATAACCAAGAAATAAAATACAATATTAACAATTATAGTAAATGACAAACTGATCACGAAAGCTATGATGTTCAGTTTTCTGTGCGACCGACGATGATGTTTCATTCCGCCATTTGTGTCTCCACATGGCTTTTGATTGCAGCATTTCTCTTTAGAATATGTCAACTGTAATTCCAACACAGTAGCTATAGTAGAGAGAGCACTGTGAACGATAAGAACCATGATGTACACAGACAATAAACAGATTTGATCTGAGTTAGTTGGTAATAGAGTTGATATTAAATTCATCAAGACAATGTAAGATAGTAGAATCGAGATTGATAGAGAAACCTTCTCACCAGATTCCGTCGGTAAAATAAAAACCAAATTTGTAAGTAAAGATAAAATCACGAGTGGTACAATAATGTTGATTACATAAAATATATATCTTCTGGTTAAATAAAATCTGAACGCTACAACATAGTCTACAAAGACATAATCGGTTTTAACTAAGATCCATTCGGGATCGGTAAAATTGAAATTAAGCAGAGACCGTCTCCCGATTACGTCAAAGCGTATGAATCCATCTACCCACGGACCAATCAAAATGCTACACGTTTGATTATCAAACGGAAACAAACGAATATTTATTTTACATATGACTTGATAGCGTCCACCGGGAAACCACACAACTGTTCCGTTAATGTATACATTAACCTTAGATGGTGATAATTCAACCTTCCCAAAATTATTATAAGCATTATAAATCATTATATCTGGCGTCCAAATTTGATCTGCTCGAATATTCCTCTGAGGACCATATTTACTAACATTCCACCACAAAAAATCATCTCGCCATCTGACAGCAAGATAACCATTCAGGGACATAACCTGTAGTTTTTCATCTAGTCCATTTATAGTGATAATTCCGAAACGTATCTGAACTGTTATACTTTGGTTATAATCGTGTCGTGGACGATCACAACAGCCATTAAAACCATAAACATCGGTGATCATAATTTCATTTTTACCAGAGTTCGTCTGAGAAGCTGATATTTTAATCAAAGACAAAGATAATAAACAGTAGTTCAATCTTACTCTAAACATATCCGTATAGTCTATCCAATATTCGTTCCTTAGATAACTATTGAGAATGTTGTAAGTGGTCCAAGCGATTGAATGCAAATCAGCCAGACAATACCTTGCAGAAGAATTAAAGGAAAGTTAATCTGTCAAAATAGTCGGTTAACACTGCCGTTAAAATTGGCAGTGAAATGTAGCGTACTCGTCCCAGCTAGCCTTTACCGTGTACACTGCCCTGTTTTCACTGGGCCATAATGGCGATTCATCAAATACATACTGCTCTCCAAACGGTGGAGGCGGAAACAACCCGGACATTCCAAATGTCAGCCGCCAAAAATAATGATTTGGAAGTCATGATTAATTGTGTCATGTTCGAAGCGCCAGCGATTCTTAAAAATGTCCAATTTTGTGTTTGAGACGCAAAGCAATAAAATTTTATGTTTTCGTGAATATCGGCGGCGCAAGCCAGTGCCAACATGATGTATTCTGTATAGACACAGCTTTATGGAACAACAATCACTGGTTAAAGTTTTATGCAACGTTTCGACGTGTTTCCCCCGTCGTGT